ACAAACAGTCATGAAACAAAGCAAAACAAATATTAACCTAATGAATTATTTTCTGTATACGGTCTGAGGTAAAGTTCTAAATTCATTTTTTTGTATGCGGATATTCCCCAAGCCTATCCTTACTTCATTTAAAAAGATATCATTGTTATTTATTTATCAACAAATATAAGAGATAACACTACAAAACTCTTAGAGAAAAAGCTTAGGACTAAGTCTTCACAACCTTGAGTTAAGCACAGAATTCTTAAATACACCACCAGAAAAAAAAAATCAATAAAAGAAAATATTAATAAACTGGACTTCAGCAACACTAAAAACTGTCGCGCTTCAGAAGTATCAGTAAGAAAGTAGAAAGCCACAGACCCAGAAAAAAATAGCTTCAAGTCATACATTCAATAAAAGATTTTTATCCAGAATTAAACAAAACAAAAATCCTAAAAAAAAAACCCATGCAACAGACTTAGATAAACAACCAGTTTAAAAATGGATGAAATGTTTATAGTCATTTCTCCCAAGAAGGCACAAGGATGGCAATAACATAGCATCTAGAAGATGCTCACATCATTCATTATTTGGACATTATGGATCAAAACGATAACTGAGAAGATACACACCCAAGGACAATGTCCGTAACAGGTGTTCATGAGGATGTGGGGAAATTGGAAACTTAACACTACCTGGTGACAAAGAAAATTTCCATTTTTGGAAAACAGTCTAGCAGTCTCTTCACATGCTAAACATGCCCATGCCACATGACATGCCACATGACCCAGCAGCTCCCCTCTGGCACCTGGAGGGAAGGTATCAGGTGCTTCCAAACGAAGACGTGGACAGGAGCGTCCACAGCTGAGTGACGGCTGACAAGGAAGACTGAGCTCATGGCCGCCCACTGGGTAGTGGAGAAAAGGCTTGTCTGTGACAGAAATACAACTGCCATTTTACTCACTTTTATTTAAATATTTCTAAACAATCCTTTAATAAATTCAAAATAGCTCTATGCTTAGCCCTTGCCCCAGTGCTGAACATTAATTAGTCCAGTTACATAAATCTGTAGCCACTTAAAATGTTCATAACAAGTTTTCCCACAGTGAAAATGATTTTTTAATGGGAACCTTGTATATAACCCATTTTCCAACTCTAATTAGATTTATCTAGGGAAAACATCATTGGCTAAGTGATATAACTAATACTAGCTAAACAAAAATGTTAATATACTCTAAGTGGTAGAATACTGTTACATTTAAAAAACATAATAATCAACATTAGTAAGAAACTAGAAATATATAATTTTGGTAGTTATCCACAAATTATGCATTTTTTCTATTTATACGCAAATATCTTGTTTATTGGGCCAACAGCTAGTATCTTTAGACTTATAAGCATCACTCGCACTAATGCAAATGCTACTGCAAAGCAATTACATCTTTATTTTGCTCGGATATCTATAAATAAAAATCATGTTCACAACTGAGTAATGAAAGTCTTGAGCATTAAGAAGATTACACATACTGTCAGATCTCATTTATGACTTCCAATTTAATGTGGTTATTATATCTACTGTTAATGTATAACACACGGCATCTATGGCGAAGCACTATGTTTTAATGCAATAATAGTAGCTATAATATTCTGAAATGTGCTTCATGAATCAAAGCCATAATGTGTTGTTAAGGGTTTGGGTTTGCATTTCATGGGCTCTTCCGGATCTATCACAACTTGCTGGAGGAGGACAGATGAAGATAGGAACACTTTCAAGAAACTACCAAAAAAAAGGGAAAAAACAAAAGACAGTCATTTTGGAGGAAGTCCTTTTCCTTGCTAAGGAGAACAGGTAACGGGCCACTGGTGGTCTCCTTCATTTACTAAAGAGATTCTGATGGAGCAAGATATGCCCAGTGGTGGAAACACAGCAGGTCCGCCTGTAAAGAAGTCGGCAAGGAGCCAGGCTGGCACTTTCTATTTCATGGTAGAATCATAAAACAGGAAACCCAAAGTCACAAAAGGCTTTTCATAGATTTTATAAAGAAGGTTGGGGATTTAAAATAAGCTTATGGAGCTGAACTCAGCAGAAACACTTTGCAATGCTATGATGAACAGAGAAATAATGAACTCCCTACCTTGGTCAACGTAACGGGAACTCACACGGCACACAGAGATGAATTAAATGGAAAGTCCTTATATTTTTAGGCTGAAATCTACTTTCTAATTCATTTTTACCACAGACATAAACTTCACGCAGTGGAAGTCTCCAACTGAGCTTTATCAAACATTTCCTGGACATACGCTAGGCGACTGGCGCTCGAGGGAGAGACCATGAAGATGAAAGACATACTTTGTGTCATAAATACCACATGATGACACGGTAGAGTGAGGACACATGAGGGAGCAAGCAGAGAACCCAGGGGAACCTTCACAAAGAGAAGGTCACTTTAGCCAGGGGCAAGGAGTTAGAGGATGATCAGGACAAGGGACAGGAGAGGCTGTGCAGACAAACAGAACATTCCCTTACTGTAGAAAGTTCTATTGGTCAGCACTGTTCTGAAGTCACCACTGCAGGAAGAATAGGAGAATCCTCCTTAAGAGCAAAAGTGGGCACATTAGAAACTGCTTTGAGACCCTGAGATCTTCTAGCACCATCCTGGGGATACACATGAGTGCTCAGTATTTGTCTGTCTAGTTGGATTTCAATAGACAGATGAAAACAGGACAGGTACACACAATCCACTAGGAACAAAAGCTGTGTATTTTGCCCTAACTCCACCAGCAAATCCTAAACTGAAGCTTTGAATCAGAGTTCTATTTTTTTTAAGATTTATTTATTTAAGCAATCAAAAAAGATAAACTCATGCAGTTTGCAGCAACATGGATGGAGCTGGAAGGGATCATGCTCAGCGAAATAAGCCAGAAAGAAAAAAAAAATACCGGATGGTCTCACTCATAGCAGGAATCTAGAAAACCTAAATAAGGGACCAGGAAAAAGAATAACTATAAGAAAGAAAAAATCAAAATCAACGAACAACTATGAACCAGAGACACACTATGGGGGGTGGGGGGATGGGGAGGGATTGGGGCCAAAATAAGGGGGGTGCAATTGTATGGGGAATATAAAAATAAAAATACAAAAATACAAAAAAAAGATTGATTTATTTATGCACACAAGAGCTGGGGTGCAGACCAGAGGTACGCGGGGTGCGGACCAGAGGTACGGGGGGTGAGAGGATTCACCAGAGACAGAGTGGGGAACAGAACAGGCAGATCTACTGAAATACACTGCTGAGGGGAGCAGCGGATGAGACAGGAGAAGTCTGCCGTGCCCTGTGGGTTAGCTCCCTGGCCAGGGATCGAACTCGTGCTGCAGTGGCTGTGGCTACCTTCATAGTGCTAAGACTTAACCATTTGTGCCACCAGGGAAGCCCTGAATCAGAGTTCTAAAAGCAATTGATAGTACACATCTACCTAATGAGCTTAGCAAAATGGGTTTAGCAATTAAAGAAAAAGATAGGTATGGTTCATTTATCACAGGATGTCTTCCAAAATAGTTACTTGAAAAATGAATGACATTTTACACTCTGAAAATGAAGATAACCACTTAGAGGAATCTTAGGGAAAAGCAGCCTATAAAAGAGGATTATCACCTCTTACCTTATGTAGTTAGAATGCCAGAAACTGGGCAGAAGTATCTACCTAAAAAATGCCAATTCTGTAAACAGACAATCAGGGTCTTATTTACATGGCTATCCTCAAATATAACCTTTTTTTCCCAGTTTTGTGGTTCTCTTCATTAATCCATTATGATCCCAAAACAACAAAACCATTTTTTAATTAAAAAACAAATGCCAGTTCTAATTTACTAGAAACAGTCATAAAAAGTGAAATTCCAGGGCAGAGACACTGACCAGCAACAGAGAGGACACAGTGGGTGCATTCCCTCCTTCCTCTATCAGGATGAGCTATCCTGAAATGAGGCAGACACATGAGACCAGAAAACTGCATTCTAAGAATCTCAACAACAGGATGTGTACTATCAATTGCTTTTAGAACTCTGATTCAGGGCTTCCCTGGTGGCACAAATGGTTAAGTCTTAGCACTATGAAGCTAAGACTGAACAGGTACCTCAACCAGAAAGAATCTCACTTAACTTCATCTCATTAGTAACTAGAAAACATAAATCAGAATCACAAAAAAATACAACTTGAACAAGAGATAAATTTAGAAAACACACAATGATGAGGCGCTGGCAGGAGTAAAAAGCAATCCCAAACGCTGCTGTTGAGTGCCCTGCTGGTAAAAACACTTGGGAAATCGTCGTGGGCTCTCCACTGAGGCTGAACACTCATATCTGAGAGGGTATCCTTCCAGGGCTAGATAGGCAGGTGCCTAAGATGTATGCAAAATGATGGACAGCATGATTCTAGCAGCCCAAGCTGAGAACAAACCAAAGTCATTTGACAGTAGAATGAATGAACCGTAACCAATTTCTGTGCTGCAGTGACAATGAGAGAAAGGAACTAACAGCATGGATGAATCTCACACACATAATACTGAGCACAACTATTTCCATTAGGTACAAAGGTAAAATCAAATTGTCATTTGGGGAGGTGTGACAGGTACTAACACTAAAACAAGAACAAAAAACACAAAGATCTGGTGATTTGTGTGAGTCAGGGCCATGGTGATCTTCGACAGAGACGGGAGGGCTAGAATTGAACTGGCAGAGAGAGTAGGGGCTCCTGGGAGGCTGATCATGCCCTCTTTCCTCATCTGCATGGTCATTTCATGGCATTTTCTCCATGATAATGTATTGAATAAGTTATTTTTGTTTTGTGTATTTTTCTATATGAATGTTGTATTTCACATGTGTAAGCATTTAAGGAAACTGTCCATAAACACACACACACTTTCTCTCTCTCTCTCTCTCTCTCTCTCTCTCTCTCTCTCTCTCATTCATGAGGTTAGGAGAGCCAGCTGTCAAACTCTTCCCTCCCCCAATACCAATTTACCTCTGACAATGCTTTACTAATTAGTGGTGAAACACTGACACTTTCCCCTCCTTCTGGATGGATCTGGAAATTTACTCTTTGGTAAAGAATCTAGGGGAGAAAAAAAGCACAAAACATTATAAAGAAATTGTGTTTTCAAATTAGCCTTTCTTTAAAATGTTGACTTAAGATTTTTAAAGTGCACCCTAAGGGATAGATCACTGCTTCATAATGCATAGTTTGCTAACAGCTCACAGCAGACTCCTGAACAGCTAAACAAGGACGCACCCACTGATAAGCAGAGTCACGAGTGACCAGGAGCTGGACCCGTGAATTCCAGCATCTCTGTGCACAGTGTCTCACAGCAAGGGCACTACCCTTCTTTCTGCAGATTTACCCTGTGAATTTTAGGAAATGTACTATCCCCCAACACTGTGTCCCCTGCCATTTCCGAAGGATCTCTGAAGAATGGTGCCAGCACTGGTGCTTAGGCCACTGGCATCAAATTTACTTTATATGATCATCTCTTCCATGTTCTATTCTTGATCATACTAACCTTTCCCATTCATAGTCAATAATTTATTCCCCAATATTAATTTCTCTCTCCCTGACTGCAGGAGAGCCAACAAAAGTGCACATCCTAGTATCTTCAAATCCCTTTTCACAAAAGTGGCAAGCTACTTTTTGTGTATAAATTAAAATTCTTGTAATATTGGGTTGTCAGAAAAGTCATGAAGCATTTTTGCTTGAAAACAGAAAAAATACATCATGATTTTTCCAACAACCCATTATTTTTAGATGATGACCATAAAATCCAGAGCCACAGTCCCAACGATCTGCATTCATTCAGGTGAGGATCACAGTTCTTGCCAGCACTTACTTCCGTCTGCAGAGAGCTGCTGGCCGCCAAGAGCAGCTCAATGCTGTCCGGGGGGCAATGTGTCAAAGCAAAGGCCATGAGCTCCTGGCGCGTGGCCAAGTCCCGGTAGCCTTCTGATTGTCCTAAACGGCTACAAACATCCCAGCTTTTAGAATAACCTGAAAAATTGGGAAGGAAAAAAACAAAACCAAGTTTCATGAGTAGCGAAAACTCCAGGTTAACATAAGGAATGCACATCCTTCTGCCCAGGGCTGTACACCAGGTTGAAACCGCAGTCACTGGTGACACTTGTTCTTATCTGAGCAGACAAATACCCAGAGATAAGGTAGAAAAGAGAGGCTGGGCTGGTGCCTTATGCCAAAAGTTCAGCGCTACTTCAGACAGGCTCTTCTGAAAAACTCTATTAAAATTTTACCTAGCAATTATTTGTTGCCACAAATAATCTACAGAGCTTTGATGGTGAGCGAAAAACCAGAAATCTAAGTCCTGAAGACTTGAGATTATGGCCCCACCCAGTCATCCAGCAAGTAAGGCAGCTCGAGAATCTTCCAGATATCATGTCTCCCGCTGCACAGGGATGACACTAATAAAGCCTCCCTCCCAGGTTCGTGAGATGGATTAGACAACATGTAAATCTAAAAGTACTTTGTAAACATCAAAGCGCTAGAAAGAGAGAAATTATTATAAATAGTCACACAGAATCATGCACTTGATGAAGAAGATGGAGCTCCAGGGAGAGCCAAGAGGCCGCCCTAATCCACGAAGAGCTTGATCCTCAATGGTATTATTCTCATCTTCTTAAACACACCGCCTTTCCTATCTGAGTGAGTTCCAGTTTGACAGTAAATCTTTTTTTTCTGAGTACAAAGGCTTCAGTCCAAAGTAATTTGGCCAACTACATAAAGTAAAATTAATTCAGCTACCACCTTCACAGGAATAAAATTACTACCAAGTCCTCAAATAAACAATTTTATGAGACTACAACTAGGTTTTTCCAGAAAACCACCATTATTCCGAACTTGACGTCAACAAGGTGGTCGACATCACAGAGCACTGCTCTCATGAGGCGCATCTTCTAATGTTGAGCTGATAAAGCACTGAGGGTTGTTTTTTTGTTTTTGTTTTTGTTTTTTGGCCAATTTTAAACATTTTCACAGATGTGCTGACAGGCTCCCTCTTTGACCCAACTTCAGTCAGGCTCTCCTGCGGCCCATTCTCCACTGGGCCTGCCAGCCCAGTTTTAGCAAGAATCCTGCTAGGTCAGTTTAAAGAGAATCTCTAATGTCCCTGGACATCTGATCCCTCGCCTCATCCCTCACTCTGGACATCAGACCACCCAAACCCGCCTTCAGCAAGAAGCCTATTTTAAGTGGGTATAGCAAGTGTCCCATGAACCTTGTGGCAATCAAGTCATTTTCCACCCACTGGCCTCCTCCACTGTTCATTGGCCAATAATCCCCACCGGCCCTTGCTCTACGCCAGTTGAGCCTTATCTCTCATCCTTACTGCAAAAATCTTAACATCCATTGAAAAAGTCCTCTGTAGTGTGCCTTATCATTTTTCACAAGAGCCAGAATAATTTTTTCTATAACTATACACATACAAAATGGGTATGAAGCCCAATGCACAGGGGTGTGGTTATCGTGAAGGGAACCCCTGCACTTTACACCCCTCTGTGAATACTCAGTAAGCAACGTGATGAGCAGGCTTCCTACATTCAGGCAAAGCCACAAAAAGTAGATCGTTTAGGACAATAGGAAGTCACTTCCTAACCCACTGGGGAATGTGTTCTTTAATAAAGAAATTTGATTACAATAAAATCTGCTTATCCTCCTGAGATATGAATTAGGAATTCGGCATGGAAAATTTTAGGGTTGCAAACAACTTCCAATTTTCACATCATTTGAAAAACATTGTTAGCTTGAAAAAAAATAGAAATATTAACTATATAGCCACAAATTGCAGATACTTCAAAATTTAGACTTTCATATAACGCATAAAAAGACATTAAAATACTTTACATAAAATTGCTCCTAAAATTATGAGCATGTTTTTAATAGGGATGGAAAGCAACCAAAATTTCAGATAAAATATAACCTCTGAGCCCATTAAAGTACTTATATTATTATACAAACACAGGGCATATCACAGCTCATAAAATGCTTCTCAAGTCTTATGCAAAAATGTGTCTGGCTTACCAATCAGACCAACTGATTCCAGAACAGACCTTTTCCACTATTCAGCACCTAAGAGGACGCGAACAAAGTGTTAAGTGAGGTGCCTACTTCACCTGTGGCCATCAGCTCCTGACAATGGACGTTGGCCGCTTTGTAGTCATGGAAGCGAAGTGCTTGCTCAGCCAGAAGGATGAGGACCTGTCCACGCCTTTCTTCTGCATCTTCACCTGTAAACACATGCAAATGACTTCATAATTATGGCAGCATCAATTAATTTTTGAAAAAGTCATTATTATTGTGGGCCCGGGATTTCCGTTATATAAGGTATTTAAAACAGGGATGCTCACAGAAGCAGAGGATAGAACAGAAGTTGCCAGGGGCAAGGTGAAGGGCAGTGGGGCACTGTTCAATGGAACAGTTTGTTACTCCAGGTGAGTATGTTGTAAGGAAATGCAGAGTTCCCAAGGCCACAAAAGACTGGCTGTCCTACCTGAGATAGTGTCAGTGTGTCCAGTAGCACAAACTAAATGGTGCTCGTGTAATCTGGCATTGTCCCTCTGAAGGGTGCCTGGAGCCGGTGGCACACTGCTAAGTGGTAGACCAGGATCCATCTAACCTGGTGCAGCTGGGGTGATCACAGGTGGTGCTGAGGCAGCACCCCACAGTGTGGCAACAAATGAATGAAGCAGAAGCAAAAATCTGAAAATCTGTGTGGAAGGCCTCCTGAAGACTCTCCCATGCCAAATCCAGCCTCCTCCTAGAAGGTGAAACCTCTGCTGTATCCTGCCTTTCAAACCCCATTGGTCCTTTTTCCAAACCAGCTGTTTCCAGGGCTGGTGCAGACCTGAACCTGACTGTTGCCAGTGGGAGCTCGAACCAGCCCGTTTTCAAAACCAGCTCAGGATGCAAAGCCAAAACCATACCAGTGTGTCCAGCCTGCCCTATGCCATCTTGCCCGGAGCTGGGCTGGCAAACTCTGCTGGATCTGAATGTCAAGGGCCAGATTTTAACCTGACCCACACAAATCTGCCGTGGCTTTTTTTCTCTTTTCCCTTTAAACTCAAACCCCAATATTTGGGGTCGACCAAGGCAATGCTACTCAGCTGGGAGCCCAGGTACCTTCAGAGAACCAGGAGCCAGGAGGCCTTCTCTTACATTTCCTCACATACAAAATGAGAGTCATATTTCTGCTATCAGGGACACAGCAAGAAATAACTTAGATAAATATGAAAACATAAAATGAGATTTTTCTTTTTTTATTGAGGTAACATTGGCTTAGAACTTTGTATATATATGATTTAGAAGTACTGGTTGACCCCCTTCAGACTGCTGCACATGTGAATTTTTATATGATGATGAACCAAAAATGGTCATCTTGAAGTTCAAAATTCAAACACCTAACCTTATTTAATTCTAGAAAGTTCCAATCTGAGCAGATAATTAGAAGGAAAAACAATCAAATAGGCCTGAAATGAATGCTGCCTAGAAAAATATTACAAAAAAAAAAAAATTCTTTTGGAGAACAGCCAGGAACATCATCAGACTAGAAAGCTATTATAGAAAAAGATTTGGATGTTTAGCCTGCAGATTAATGATAGTATAACAAAGCTTTGAGCATATGAAATATAAACTAAGTTCACAAGTTCTATAATACTCACTTGTACAGACAGAGTTTAATGCCTTGAATGGAGACTAAAGATTTACTTTTACCAAACAGAATAAGGAGGAAATGATGGTGTGGGAACTTCCAAGCAAAGTCATAAGAGGCAGTTTATAGGATCCTCTTTGCTCTCTCATGAATCAACTGCTCTAGGAGAAACTATATACTGTGCTGAGAGAAGTTCCAAGAAGCCCTGTGGAGAGGTCATGTGGCAAAGAGCTAAGGACATTTACCCAGAGCCAGGGAGGAACGAGTCCTTACCCAACAGCCACGTGAGTGTGCCGGCTCAGTAGCAAACACTCCATCCCAATGACCCTCCAGGGGTATCTACAAACACGTCTCTTGACATTGGGAGGTCCTATGTGACTCCCGCCATGAAGAAAATACAATAGAAATGAAGCTGCCTGGATTCTTACACAAGATGAGTAAATGCCAGGAACCTTTTGCTAGTTTCTGGGACACCCTCTCTGGGAACCTTTAGCCACCTAAGATGTCTGGGAACACTGAGGCCGCCGTGTGGAAAGACCACAAAGAGAAACACAGCACAATAACAGCACTTCTCCATCCCACAGGGGTTTGAGTCTTTCCAGTCCAGGCCTCCCTTGGAGAGTAGCCGTCCCTAACCACGGTCTGACTGCAAGTTCATAGAAGAACCTGAACGGTCCTTGCCGACTGGTAAAAAGAATGTTTATCCCATTAAATGTCCACTTAGTTCACCAGTATCATGTAGAATATTCCTATTCTACATCAACAAGTCACAAAGACAGAAATGGAAATGAATCCTAGTAGGTGCACGGAAGATGGCGGGCAGCCTCCTGCCTGCCTCGCTAGTTCTGAAGAACTCGATTCTTCTGAAATCCTTCCCTGATGATCAGAGTGCTTCACAGTACACCTTTACTCATTGGGTGGCAGGTGAAGAAGGGGACAGTAGTCCTCTTCTCCAGGTGAGGAATGGAAGCTCATCATTTAGCAAAGGTGCACAGTCAGGACTAAACCAGTCTTCTGATCTCACACCCAACTTCTCACTGTTCATCCAAGATGCTTCCTGATGGATGATTGGCCCCAAGCCAAGAGTCGGCGCCTTTGCAAGGCTACTGCAAGGCCAACGGTACAAATGCTAGAGCTATACTTTCAGACAATCTAAAAAAGGACAACTGACACATCAAAATTTACTAAAACTAGACTTTTGGAACCTTATTTTAGAGTAAGAGTTCTGTATATTATAACTTTAAAACATTAATGTGTGCCCACTAAATTAAACATATACAATGAAGCCAACAATGAAAATATAAATCCTTTTCAATTCTGGGCTTACAATCTGTGACTTGGTAAAGAATCTCTAACCACTGCTTGTGAAACAAAATGGCCAACGACTATTCTTGTAGAGATCAGTTTCCATCAAGAATACCAGAGAAAATTATTAAAAGATGCCGGTAAGCAGAAAGAGTGGCTGAAGAAGCAAAATGTAGAGACAGACTTTCCCGGAAAGCCATGATCTACTCTTTAACCCTGCTGGGCAAGATCTTACACAAATTGATTCTCAATTTCCCTTATAAAATGGGAAAAATACTACCATCATCACCACCTATAGAAGATAAAATGAGGTAACGTATGAGAAAATCGCACCAGGCAGGACATGCACAAATTTTTCTAAGAAATTGCTCATGTTCAAAGACAATACACCAAATCTGGGCCCTGAAGGTGAATGGCAGGGCAGGCTTATCCTATGCTTAAGTTTCCTGGTTATAAATGGTAACTCTAATCCTCTGTGGTAACCGCTCTGGGGCACCTTAAATAAGCCCGCCTCATTTAATGGAATGATGGGCCCAGCAGCTCAATACAGGTAAATATTTTTATAACATGCCAATCTCATACCATGCCAAAGGCAGCTCTTGTGACACCCATAAGCGTATACTCTGATGTTCACCTAGGATGCTGTTGAGTGTAGCACAGCTCACTCTGCAGCTTGACATTCAAAACTTACCTGCCACCTGAAGCAACTCAGCAAGGCCCAGAAGCTTGGTGGACTGTTTGTAGCATGTGGGGAATTGGCAAATACACTCCTTGATGAGGCTGATCCGGTCAGAGCGCAATCGCACTGCAAAAGAGAGGCCTATCTGAGAGACCAGAAATCAACCCGGACACATAGTCAACTAATATTTGACACGGGAGCCAAGTAAAGGGCACTGGGAAAACTGGACTTTAGGGGTGGACTCTTGGCGATTGATGGTAGGTGTACTTTGGTGGCAATACCTGATGGGGGTATCCAAATTTACCTTGAGTAAAAATAAATTAATTTAAAAATTAATATGGTATATAGTACATATTAAATATATATTGCACGTATTTTACATAATATATAACATAAATTTATATATACAATATATTTATAACAAGAATATGAAAATATTAATTCTAAAACATAAATACATGCCCATGTTCATTGCAATATTACTCACAATAGCCAATATATGGGACAACCTAAGTGCCCATCAACACATGACTGGATAAAGAACAGGTGAGGGTGTGTGTGTGTGTGTGTGTGTGTGTGTGTGTGGGTGAATTTCAGGACTGGCTAGGGAACATTTTATCATATGCCATTCTGGGTAGAGTGAAGTTCCAATATACCTATTTATTGGAATACCAACTCAGCTATACAAAAATATAAAATCTTGCCATTTGCAACAACATGGACAAAACTTGAGATTATACCAATAATACCTGATGATTTCACTTCTATGTGGAATATAAAGGAAACTAGCAAAATAAAACAAAGTCTTAGATACAGAGAATAGATTGGTGAAGGAGATTAGTGGAATGGGTGAGTCAGGTAAGGGGGCGGTATGTGCTAATGAGGGAAACCAGAAATTTGGAGGTTATCGGAATACAGCATAAACAGATGTCAATGAGAATGCACTGTAGCTGAAACCAATAAAAAATTTATTTTAAAAATGCACTGGGAGATTCGCGCTGTCCTCAGTGCCTCAGGAGAGGCTGACGGGTAACTGTCACAGTGGACTTGTTTGGGTGGCACCTGCCTGACTCTTACATTTAAGTAAAAGAACATGAGCGCCTTCTAGCCTGCAGTTCCAGCCCAGAGGGGAGCAGCACCCACCACTGGGGCAGACCGGGCGTGCAGGGGAGCACGTTCCCGCATCACCATTTTGCAGCAGGGACCTTTCTTTGCTGGAGACTTGTGAACCCAGCAGAAGTTCCCCAGAGGAGCCAGTGGTGAGCTGGGAAGTTCGCCCAAGATGCCGGCCAGTACCAGCAACACAGGGTCACAAGGAATACGGCAAATTAGAAAACAGGCAGTAGGGAGTAGAAAAACCACATGCAACCCAGCAACTCCTCAGCAAAAAAGCACACCACAAAAAGAAAACCATCTACCAGATTGCAATGACAGTAACTTGGAAGAACTTCTGAGCCTTCCAGATAGAGAATTTAAAATTGCTGTGATTAAAAAACTGACAGAAGTCATAAAGGAAAACAATGATAAGGGGAAAATAATTAATGACCAGAAGAATGAAATTGAGTCCCTAAAGAGGGAAGAAAAGAAATGCAGGAGATCAAAGAATTAATGGAGTCGCTAAAGAACTCTGGGAAAAGCAATGAAAGCCGAATAGATGAAATGGAAGAACGAATAAGTACTCTTGAAGACACAGAAATAAAAAGAACTAAAACAGAAAAGGAAGGAGAAGTACGAAGGAAAAAGACCGAAGAAAGACTTCGGGAACTATCTGATTCCATGAGGAAAGGAAATATAAGAGTTATAGGAATCCCAGAAGGAGAGGAGAGAGATGTAGGAACAGAGAAAATATTCATGGATATAATTGAAGAGAACTTCCCAAACGCGAAGGAGGAGCTGAAAATTGATATACAAGAAGCAAGAAGAACACCAAACTTCCATGATGAAAGGAAAAATACAGCAAGACACATAATAGTAAAGCTCCCAAGAATCCAAGACAAGGAAAAAATAATGAAACTAACAAGAGGGAAGAAACAGATAACATTCAAAGGGAAACCAATCAGACTGACATCGGACTTCTCTGAAGAAACACTACGGGCAAGGAGAGAGTGGAGGGACATAGTCAACAGACTCCAAGAAAACAGATGCCAACCAAGAATTCTCTATCCCACAAAGCTCTCCTTCCTCTATGAAGAAAGAATAAGGACCTTCCCAGACAAAGAGAAACTCTGGAATTTTATTACAACTAAACCCCACTCCAAAAAATACTACAAGGAGTCCTAAAGCCAGAACCTCAGAGGGACAATAACAACAAAACAGGCCAAAGAAAGTTATTAAAAGAATAAATAAATAAAATCAAAGGAAAGACAAACACAATGGCAAATACAGATGCTAACATATCAATACTAACTCTAAATGTAAATGGACTAAACTCTTCAATAAAAAGACACAGAGTTGCAGGCTGGATTAAGAAACAAAACCCAACCTTTTGCTGTCTCCAGGAAACACATTTAGCTGCAAAAGATAAAAAATAGACTCAAAGTTAAAGGATGGAAAACAATTCTACAAGCAAATGGACCAAAAAAGAAGGCAGGAACAGCTATACTCATATCAGATAAAACAGATTTCAAACTTAAAAAGATAAAAAGAGACCCCAGTGGTGATTACATTATGATCAAGGGGACAATACTTCAAGAAGAAATAACACTCATTAACATATATTCACCAAACGAAGGAGCACCAAAATATATCAGACAACTATTGGCATCTCTGAAAACAGACATCAGAGAAAACACATACGTAGTGGGAGACTTCAACATACCACTATCAACAATGGATAGATCAACAAGACAAAAAATAAGTAAAGACACTAAAGCTCTAAATAAGGATCTAGAGTGCTTGGGCTTAACAGACATATATAGAACACTAAACCCAAAAAAATCTGAGTATACATTTTTCTCAACTGCACACGAATCATTCTCTAGGATCGATCATATACTGGGGCACAAGACAAACATCAACAGATACACCAAGATTGAAATCATACCAACCATCTTTTCTGACCATGAAGGCATCAAACTAGAAATAAACCATAAAAAGAAGGCAAGGTACTCTCCTACCTCATGGAGATTGAAACCCACACTACTGGAAGTCCACTGGACTAACGAGGAGATACAAGAAATTAAAAAATTCTTTGAATTGAATGACAAGGAGGACACCTATTTCCTAAATGTATGGGATGCAGCAAAAGCAGTAATAAGAGGAAAATATATAGCAATAGATGCTCACATCAAGAAACAAGAAAGAACTCAAAGAAACAACCTAATCTCGAAGCTCAAAGATCTAGAAAAAACAACAACAAAAACCCCAAAACCAGTAGAAGAAAGAAATAATAAAAACCAAAGCAGAAATAAATGAAATCGAAACTAAAAAAAAACAATCCAAAAGATCAATGAAACCAAGAGCTGGTTCTTCGAAAAAAATAAAATAGATAAACCCCTAGCCAGGCTCACAAGGGCAAAAGGGAGAAAGCACAAATAAATAGGATAATAAATGAAAGAGGAGAAATCACAACGGACACAGCAGAAATCAAAAGAATAATTAATAACTACTATGAACAGTTATATGGAAACAAGTTCAACAATCTAGAGGAGATGGACAAATTCCTACAACTCTACAATCACCCAAAGCTAGATAAAGAAGAAATAGAACACCTAAACAGACCAATTACAATTAGCGAAATTGAAATGGTAATCAAAAACCTCCCCAAAAACAAAAGCCCAGGACCTGATGGATTTACAAATGAATTCTACCAAACATTCAGAGACGAATTGGTGCCTATCCTTCACAAACTCTTCCAAAAAATTGAGAAGGAAGGTATAATACCTAACACGTTCTATGAAGCCAACATTACACTAATACCAAAACCGAACAAGGACAACACAAAAAAAGAAAACTATAGGCCAATCTCCCTAATGAACACTGATGCAAAAATCCTCAATAAAATTTTAGCTATCAGAATCCAACAGTGTATCCATAAGGTAATTCACCACGACCAAGTAGGATTCATTCCAGGGACACAAGGATGGTTCAACATCCGAAAATCAATCAATGTTATCCAACACATCAACAAAAAGAAATATAAAAACCATATGATAATATCAATAGATGCCGAGAAAGCTTTCGACAAAGTGCAACACCCATTCATGATAAAAGCCCTTGAAATTCTTGGGATACAAGGAACATACCTCAACATCATAAAGGCCATATACGACAAGCCAACAGCCAGTATCATTCTCAATGGTGAAAAGCTGAAAGCATTTCCATTAAGATCTGGAACAAGACAAGGATGTCCACTCTCACCACTGCTTTTCAATATAATACTGGAAGTCCTAGCCAGAGCAATAAGACAAGAGAAAGACATACAAGGAATCCAAATAGGAAAAGAAGAAGTCAAACTATCACTATTTGCAGATGATATGATAATATACATAGAGAACCCCAAAAACTCCATAGAAAAACTAATTGAACTCATCAATCAGTTCAGCAAAGTGGCAGGATACAAAATCAACATGCAAAAGTCAGAAGCCTTCCTATACACTAACAATAAATCTGAAGAAGAAGAAATGAAAAAACCATCCCTTTATTATCGAAACAAAAAAAAATCAAATACTTGGGAATAAATCTAACAACAGAGGTAAAGGACCTTTACAAAGAAAACTATAAAACACTGTTAAAAGAAATAGAAGAAGATACAAAGAAATGGAAAGACAGCCCCGGCTCATAGATTGGAAGAATAAACATTATTAAAATGGCCATCCTACCAAAAGCAATATACCGATTCAATGCTATTCCAATCAAAATTTCAATGTTATTCTTCAAAGAAATAGAACAATTATTGATGAAATTCATATGGAATCACCAAAAACCCCGAATAGCCAAAGCTCTCCTGAAAAAAAAAGAAGGGAATGGAGGCATCACACTCCCAGATTTCAGGCTATACTACAAAGCCATAATCATCAAAACTGCATGGTATTGGAACAAGAACAGACACACAGACCAATGGAATCGAATAGAAAATCCAGAAATAAACCCACAGATTTATGGTCAACTAATCTTTGACAAAGGAGCAAAGACTATGCATTGGAGCAAAGAAAGTCTGTTCAATAAATGGTGCTGGGAAAACTGGGTCGCTACATGCAAAAGAATGAAGCTTGACCACTACCTCACACCATACACAAAAACCAACTCAAAATGGATTAAAGAACTAGACATAAAACCTGAAACCATAAAATACATAGAAGGAAATATAGGCGAAACACTACGTGATTTGCACATCAAAGACATCTTTACAGTCACATCACCCAAAGCAGTGATAGTGAAGGCAAAGATAAACAGCTGGGACTACATCAAATTAAAGAGCTTCTGCACAGCAAAAGAGACAATAACAAAAACAAAGAGAAACCCCACCAACTGGGAGAACATTTTTGCACCCAACACTAATGATAAAGGACTGATCACAAAAATCTGCAAAGAGCTGATGAGACTCAGCAACAACAAAGAAAATAATCCAGTCAAAAAATGGGCAGAAGAGCTAAAAAGAAACTTCTCTGAAGAGGAAATGCAGATGGCCAACAGGCATATGAAAAAATGTTCAACATCACTTGTAATCAGGGAAATGCAAATCAAAACTACCATGAGATACCATCTTACACCAGTGAGAATGGCACATATTAAAAAAACTAGCAACAACAAATGTTGGCGAGGGTGTGGAGAAAAAGGAACTCTCCTGCACTGCTGGTGGGAGTGCAAACTGATCCAACCACTATGGAGAGCTGTGTGGAGATTTCTCGACCTACTAAACATAGAGCTTCCATAGGATCCAGCAATTCCACTCCTAGGTATTTACCCAAAGGACACAGAAACATCAATTCCAAAGAACACCTGCACCCCTATGTTTATAGCAGCACTATTTACAATAGCTAAGCTTTGGAAACAGCCCAAATGCCCAAAAATAGATGACTGGATCAAGAAGATGTGGTACATATATACCATGGAATATTACTCAGCATTCAAAAAAGATAAACACATGCATTTTGCAGCAACATGGATGGCGCTGGAAGGGATCATGCTCAGCGAAATAAGCCAGAAAGAAAAAGAAAAATACCGGATGGTCTCACTCATAGCAGGAATCTAGAAAACTTAAATAAGGGACCAGGAAAATGAATAACTATAAGAAAGTGAAAATCAAAATCAACAAAAATCTATGAACCAGAGACACTTTTGGGGGTGGGTGGAGGGAGGGGAGGGATTGGGGTCAAAATGGGGGGGTTGAAATTGTATGGGGAATATAAAAATAAAATTTATTATAAAAAAAAAAAGAACATGAGCAATGTTAAGATAATGCCAACAATTAAATTTTAGACAAGAGCTTCCCATCGTTCCCTTTTAAAAATATACTCTCGACCTAAAAATAATCTGCAATGAACATAAAAATAACTATTGTCATTTACAGTTATTTTTAATTGTATGCAACAGAAATAAAATAGGGAAATAAACTGTATACCAAAACTGATAAAACTCTGAGACACTCATCCATTGTCCCGAATTTCTATTTTTGGCTTATCCAATAGTCTCACTGTTCTGTTACAAATGCCATTTCTTTCAGAGTCATAAATATGAACTTAAAAAAAAAATCATGGTGAAAAAGCATTGGCTCAATGTTTTCTTGGGGATTTCACTTGAAAATTGGGGTAGAGGATGGGCCCTATTCCTAATGGATTAAACAACCAAAGGATAGTGAGGACAGTTGATGAGTGAGTTCATAGGGTTCTAATATTGAGATAGTGCCATTATAGAAAGAACAGGCTGGTTTCCTGGGTATCAGTTTCTTAAGCTGTCAGAACCTACACTGGGAAGAAAAGCTGAGCACTACGCATCTCCACGTACATGAACTGGCTTCTGCTTGTGTTCACCTAGGGAAGTGTGTGTGAATTATACAGGCGCGGTTAGTTTGAAGAATTCAGTCTTTTTTAAACTTCCAGGTAACAAAATAGATTTTGAAGCATTGATGAATTTTCTGAGAGGACACTAGCTCTAGTCCTGCAGCTCCTGAAAACCGAGGAACTCCACCTGCTGTTCCTGAAAACCGAGAAGCTGCCTCATGACAATCCAGCACCTGGTGGTGCATTGGTTGAGCGCTGGGCTGTGAAGCTGCCTGCAGCCTCTGCAGCACCAGTTCGATCCCCGGCCGCTGGGCAAAGGTCCCACATGGTGCGCAGACCTCTCCTGCCGCCCGCTGCTCCCCTCAGCAGTGTACTTCAGTCCTTCTGCCTGCTCTGCTCCCCACTCTGGCTCTGGTGAATTCTCTCACCCTCCCGTGCTTCTGACTGTACCCAGGGCTTGTATAAATAAATAAATAAGTATTTAAAAAAAAAAAAAGAAGAAGAAGAAAAACATAAATTTGGAATTGAGTGTGTAGGAACCTTATCATTAGAGTTTCTATAGTCACTGACTTTACCTAAACTGTGCTTGTAAAGGGTTAACTGTCTTCCATCAAACTGGCATTAAATAGTTCCATTCACTCATGGAGGAGGGGATGCAGAAGAGACGGACGCTGGACACCAGTTCATATGTCTGTGAGTCAGTAAAGATCGGAAGTGTCTCGTGTAGACAGGGATTATTTTTGATATGTGATAAAAATTATCAATGAGATTAAACAATTTTGCTCACTGAAATGTCTTAGGATATATCCATATTTTCAGGACAGATCGTTTTTACTATTGGGCGAGTAGGTAAAAAATATACTACACAGTAATTGCAGTTAGGTTCTAAAGAAAATAAACTGCAGAGAAGTCTATGCAATACATAGTTTGCCAAATTAGTATTCATTTGAGGAAAGTAGTTCTAAAATATTCCCAAAGCAGTTTGTTCATCAACTGAAAGTCCTCTCAAAACAGAACTATAGGGAAATTATGGTGTGTGGTGTGGAAAAACAAAGCACCCTGGTTTTCTGGAGGGAATGATACTTAAATGGCCAAATTTGCTTGGCACAGTTAATAATTTAAATTTGTTGATTTTAGCATTGCCGTTACATCTGAACTAAACTTATGTGATATGCTGATAACAAAAAAAAAATTAAGAATTAAAAAGGACAGTGGTAAATTAACGCAAGACAAAATGGTAACAGCACTAAGTAGAACACTCACCTTGCAAAGGTAAGATCTTTACCCCAAATTCTTCCAGACATCCAAGGGCTTGGATAAGGTTCAGCTCCTCCTGAATGGCAGCTGGTCCATCTGACATCAGCTGTAAGCAACATCTAGAAAAAAAGATCAAGTTTTAAAAAGAAGCAGCAACCTATGTCCAGGTAAGCTGTTTTTTGTTTTTTTTTTTCATATTCAACATGAGATCCATATTTATCAAAATCTTAATTCATTCTAGGTATTATGCTAGGTCCCGTCATCTTACTCAATCCTCATAGCAAGACTGTGAGGCAGGCAAATAACATAGCTTGCTTACAAGGAAGCCAAAACTGACGAGAGAGCAGTAGGAGGCTTCCGGGGGCCAGTGACCATAAAGGGCTTCATCTCGGGGTGAAACCTGTGGACTTTGCATCGTACTCCAAAGAGTATGATGTTGACTCCAAAGAGAATGAAAGAATTTAAGAAAGACAGGATTCGGGTAACTTCCAGTTCTTCTTGTAGAGAAAAAAAATAGGAATGACTTATTTGTTATAATTTTGTATCCCAAAGGAAAAAGGAGAGACTTAAGCAGCACAGGATATTTTCTAGGCAAAAAAAAAAGAGTCAGTGCTGGAGAACAGACATAAATGTAGGAAAAAATGAGTAGCTAATGTAAGGATTTGTGATACCAATGGAGTATTCTCAGCAACTTTTTAACATTTAGAGAAAATATACCTTAATAAGTATTTTAATAAACAAATTTACTTTCTGAAAGGTGAATGTAAAAGAACAATGGTCATGAAACTAGAAAGACAGGCGGAAATCAGGCCAGGAAGAGCTGATGAAGGCTAAAATCATGGCTCAGCAGTGAAGTTATCAGGGCCCCAGTAGGCACCTGCACAACTGAGTGACAGAGACCGGCCTGGCTTGGTCTTGCAAAATTGTAGGATTTCATCTGAGGACCACCAACATACACCACTGTTTCAAATGTAAAAGGTCCATGACCTCTTTTTGGTACCTACCAAAATTATATTATAATTAAACTTACCTTTGATTCCTGGAATTCCATTACTAGGAATTTATACCACAGCTAGGATCACACAAGCCCAAACGCAACTCTAGATGCTCACTACCACAAAATTTCTATGGGAAAGTGCACTAAGGCAGGAATTAACCAAATCAAATATGTAAAAGTCAACCAGTGGAATAATCTACAACTATCAGAAAAGAATGAAATAAACTTACGTATACTCAGAAAGGAAAAACTTTCTAAATAGATTGCAAGTACAAAAGTAAGATACAGAAAGGTATGTAGAATAGTAAGTACTTATACACAATTTAAGAAAGAAGAGGGTGAATTTAATAAGATATTTTAGAAAGATATATAGGAAACCAATAAAAAATTAAAAATAAGAATAAGTAGAGAGACTCATGGTCAATATATAACCTTCACGTGTTATTTGAATATTTTATCTTATGACTATTGCTTCCTCATAAAAATGAACTAGCTAAAAAGTAATAACTGAACCATAAAGGCACATGGGCTATTTTCTATATCCAATATGATTGCCAACATTTAAATATATCAGGCTCACAGGTTGCAATCAGTTTGGTGCCACATTATACACATATGGCATCTTTTTAAAATCAAGTATGTCCTTGTGGGAGAAAAAAAGACAGGGAGTGAAGGACACTATAGGAAACATAGTTTTTAAAATGATCTCGGAGAACACCTGCCAAAAAGATTTAGGTCAAACACAACTCCCAATTTCAAAGGCTATTCTATTTTATATTTTCATCACCTGAAATAGAAATACAAGCCCTTGGGGGAAAAGGGAAAAAAAATTACTAAGTATTTTAAGCAACTTTATCAAGCTCAATGACATGGTCTGAGAAAACAGTGCATGTATAGACCCACTCTATAAGAAGGTATCACTGGGAAAAAGTTCTCTAAGTTTTGCTGCAGTTGAAACAACTACTCATCGTTTTGGGGAGAAAATGAATCTGAATGGTGAACACATTATATTCAGTTAAATAAAACAGCCCTAGAAATTCAATGTAAAAATAAAAGCATCAAAGAAGTAAAAAGCAATACGAGAAACTAAATGGCCTAGGAATTAAAGGCCTTTCAAAGAATAACACAGGTAGCAACTATTAGAGAAAAAAATATATTTACTTCTGACTAGCAACTTGAAAGATAAATTATGTATAATAAAACCTTGGCAATACAGTTAAAACACTTAGGATAGGCAAAGAACAAATGTCCCTCATACTAAAAATTTTCCCAAGAATCAGTAATAAAAAGGTGAACACCCCAGAAAATAATAAAGGCTAGAAACAGATCTCAAATAAAAAAAAAATACAAATGCAGATGTTTAAAAGGAAAAAAATGGAAATGTTAACAATTAGTTTGGAAAAGGGGCTCAGCGGCGCCCTATTAGCTGGGTAACATACATCAAAATCTTATGTGTGTCACCTTTGTCAACAGTCCCACCTTGATGCATCAAAGCAGCAGCAGGGCACAGCTGTAACCAGCCTTCATACTTGGTTAATATTACAACAGCCCGAGGAAGAAGTCCTATTATTATCTTCATTTTACAGCTGAAGAAGCTGACATCCTGGTAACTGGCCCAAGGTCACATGTGTTATGGCCAAGGCGGGGTTTGTACACTGGCATCTTGCTCTAAAAACTGTGTACTTAACCTTGACACCTTGCTTCTTCTTCAACAATGAAAACGGGAAACTTGAAACTGATTAAATGCAGTCTAAAAAGACCTGGATAAATACAGTATAACTGCCACACGATGCTTTGCAGCATTAAAAAAATGATGGAGCACTCTATGTATTGGCATACCTACTGAAAAAAAAACATGTCACAAAAAAAAATATACAGTAATAGCTCGCCTTTTAAAATTATATGTAAATACATATGCAAAATAGTTACAGAATGATCAGGCTCGTAACATTTTTGTTTAAGTAAAAACCAGATGATTCACTTGTCGAATAACGTAAAATAAAATGTAAGACCTCTTACAGACTGTTCATAGAAAATCTGAGAAGACAGAATGAAATTACAATATCCGGTCACAGGAAATAGCACATGGTAAGAAAAAGCAAATAAGCAACTCTCGAGACCACCGTTAAAGGTATGTCCAGTGGTCTTCAGTGTTTTTATCAAGAAATAAAAAGTCGGCGCTTGCTTGAGGAACTCAGGTCCTCAGAAAAATTGCCAATTTCCTTGAGGCGGGAGAATAAGCTAGAAAGTGTGCTTCTCGAAATGAACGAGATCTGCTCAGCTCTGAGAGGAAAAGTAGAGTCGAGTTTAGATGGAGATCTCAGACCAAGAAAAAGAGAACAGACCCAGAAGTCCAGGAGCGAACTGAAGGAGACATAACCATGAGGAGGGACACTGCAAGTGAGCTGGAAAGCAGAGCTGGAAATGCCAACGAGCTGGTGAGAGGGCAGGTGGGGGCCCACCTCTCCAGGGTCACTGTCAGCCTCTGAACAGTGAGCAGTAAGGTTATCCTTTTGAAAGCCTGAAGATTCATTAATTCAGAGGCAACACATGTGCTATTATTGGTCATTAATTATTAGGCTTTTTTTTAAAAGATTCTTTTATTTATTCATACAAGAGCAGGGGTACAGGCCAAAGGGGTGGGGGTGAGAGGATCCACCAGAGACAGATAGGGGAACATAACAAGCAGATCGACGGAAACGCATTGTTGAGGGGAGCAGCTGGCGAGCCAGGAGAGGTCTGTTGCACCATGTGGGTTACTCCCTGGCCAGCCAGGGATCAAACTCATGCCACAGAGGCTGCCGACAGCCTCACAGGCTGTGTCCTAACCCCTTGAGTCACCAGGGAGGTCCTTATTAGGCTCTTAATTTTATAAAAATCACTTTAAATCATGAAGATTCTTCTAAATAAATCAATGTAATTCTGCATATCTAAAATAGAAAGAATTCAGATCATAAACATACCTTCTTCTTAGTATTAACAATAGGAGTGTACTAAAATATCAATATAAGAGGGCCTCAAAAGGGACTGATTTCAAGTCTAGAATTTTCCACCTTGAAGAGACTTTTGATCATCTAATCAGCCCCTTTTCCCTAAACAAAGTGGAGGTTAGGATAAAGACCTCACCTATATGCACTGAAAATTCCAGAACTGGAATCTGTATGCCATCACATGAACCTTTTGTGATAGAAGAGGAGCATAGCCTTACCAAGTCAGCAAGAACGGCTGTGGGAAAGCGAGCTGGAGAACAAGGGTCATGAGTAAGTGGATGACTATTTATAACATAATTAAGTTCTAAACAATAATCTGTAATCTGTATTTGTGATGCTATCTTTTGGAAAGGCTAAACCCAACAATGGAGTCATGTGCTCTGAGCCCAATCTCCCTCTCAGGGGAGAAGAAAATTGCTCACCTGGCCAGGTCCATGCAGCTGTCTGTGAGGCTGGTAGAGGAGTTGAAGTACTCTCTGCTGGCAGCCAACACCAAGTCAACGCTCTTCTCGTAACCAACCCTGTACTGGGTTTTCCCTTTATGGGCCACACAAGCTGGGGGATTTGTGGCACAGGCGCTGCAATACATCATCTGCCCAGCCAAGTGGATATTTTCAAGGCGACCGGAACAAAGAAGGCTTTCTGTGAATACCTGGGAAAAAGAAGAAACTGGAATTAATGCTTAAAGAAGGGGGATTTGGTTCTCAACAAAAATGAAGGCTCTAATATTCAAATGAAATAAGCTAACAGGACATCCACCCTAGAGGTGGGGGCTGTACACCACCAAGAATACATGAAACGACACTTAAGTGAACACTTTAAAATGGTTAACTTCATGAGAATTTCACCTCAGTTTTTTAAAATCCATCTTTTAGGAAGGAGAAATAATTTAACTGAATGAACCACAATATTTTAACATGTTACAATGAATATTTGAGTAATAAGTTTGAAGTTCAAATTTATTCAAAAGAGAAACCATTAGAAATACTGTCCTATACAGGGCCTCCCTGGTGGCAGGGACTAAAGTCTCTTAAATCTGGCAGGTGAAAATAACTCTACAAATGCCTAGTGATTCAGATATAACGTTTTTGCTATGCCTTTATTTTACTCAAGTAAGCCACAGTCAATGTCCAATATTGAAAAATACAATTTAGTCATTCTAAAATTTAAAAGGTTTCACTTTTAATTTAGTTAAACTTAATTTAATTAAATATAAACTTAATTAAAATTTAATTAAAATTTTAACCTTAAATCACTATAAAATGAACAATACAGATTTCTGTTCTATAAGTTGGATAAAAATCTACACCTAACATTTTCAAAATAGTGCCACTGAGCTTTCTAGATTATTCTCCAAAGACAGCAAAGCAATGGCCAAAAGTCAGTAAGACAATATGGCATATTTTAAAAGACACTAAAATTATATTTGAATTGTAAGTTTGCCAAATCTATATTAGCTTGCTCTAGAATCATTTCAAAACTTTTATAGTATGCTTTCAAATGTTTTCTCAAAGGAGAGAGAGACTAATGGCCAGAAGTCATTAAAATACCAAATTCAATAAAAAGGTGATAAATTATAACAAAAACTATTTAATATGTCAAGTTGTTAAGGAACTAGTTCAAGTATAAAACACTGCAATTTTTGAATGCCAATCAGAAAGGGTGAAATACCAAGGTAATGCCAATCCAACTTAAAAACACTATTTCAGACATACTAATGACAGCTAGGTTCTGCACCCCATGTGCATGCAGATTATCTTCTCCCAAAATTGGATTTCAACTTCCAGTTCAGATACAAAAAGGGAAGTTATTGGCAGCTGTAAATGTTAGGAGACTAATCATCAACATAAACTTTACATTCATTCAAGCACTTTTGAACTTCAAACATAAATCCATTCATTTCTCAACAGTTGATATCAGTAGTCTTCTGTTACGGACACCTTGAATTAAAATACCAAGCAATTTCACAAAATAATGACCTCATTTATAATTCTCATTGGGTTGGAGAGTGATGCCAGAACAGAGCCACACAAGGAATGTTCCATACAATTTTGCAGGTGGCTTATTTAACAGGAAATTTTAAATGTAAACCTGCTTTGATTTATTTATAATTTTTATTTATATATTTTTTACATCATTGTTCATTTTTAAACAATATTTGCTTCCTCCCACCCCCTCAGGTGGAGTCCCCATAGAGTTTCCTTCCCCAAGGCACCCGTGCACCATCACCTCGGTCCCCTGTGCTCCTCCCTCCCTCCCTCTGATCCCTCTCCCTCCTCGTCCCCCGCAGGATGTCTCTGGTTTATAATTGTCTGTTTTTGCTTTGTTGTGTTGTGCTTTGCATTGTTATGATTTTTTCCCCTAATGTCTTACGTGGTTCCCCTATATTCCTCCTATAAGTGAAACCATCTGATATTTTCTTTTCCTTCTGACTTATTTCACTAAACCTGCTTTTAGACCATACCTTATTTAAAATAGGTTAGTTGATCATTTTACCCTACAAACCACCAGCAATTTGATGGTACTATTCATGTTTTCCAAAATAATGATTCAGTCACCCTAGGTTACAATCATAGTCAGTTAACAACCATTTCCTAAGTAGCCTTTCTGTTTCAGACATTTTAATACGCACCGGGGGATGGGAGGATGGAAATGATATGGCAATGCCTACCCAGGAGCTCCTGACCAAATGGAAGAAACACACAGACACAGGTAACTGCACTGAAAGAAAGGCTCTAATAGAGACAAGTTACATGAAAATACAAAGCGATCGCCCTAGAGAGCGTATCTAGTGAGCTGGGTCCTAACAATTATCAGCCAATTTTAAATAAAGGAAAGAGGACTGCATCGCAGCCAAAGGGAAGAGTGCTTGGTTCCCTTTGGGGTTATGGTGTGTGGAGGGGCCCTGGCAGAGCTGGCGGGAGCTCGGGGCATGGAGGGAAGCCCAAGGAGAGCACAACAGGGCAGCTGGGACCTTCTGGGCTTTCTACGCCATACTAAAAGGCATGGTTATTTTCTGATGATTGATACAGAAATGGCAGTTAATTGTAAGAAGGGGGACATCAGGAAAAGTTCTGCTTTCAAAGAATACCCTGAGTCAGCGCAAATTAGGGAAAGATACAGAAGTAGAGAGACAGAGGATGAGTACAATTTAACAGAAATACAGATGGGAGAGTACTGAAAAGCTTTCTCAGGTAGACTAAGTCTTAGTGACACTCCAAACTAGGGAAGTGAGAGGAGTCAAGTAAGATTCATGGACCCCCAGCAGACAGTTACCCCATTAAATAAATGCTGGTTCAACCAGCAGAGATGGGGAGGGGAGGGGGAGCCGTGCACCTGCCAACTACAGAGCACTGCTCCATGGCCAGCACTGGCTCAGTAACACACACCAGGGACACTTACAGTCGTCACCTTTCAGACCAGTGAGAAACTGTAACCCCAGAGCACCCACATGAAAAGCATCTGATTCAGACACACAGTTACCTCATAGCAAGCGTCGGAGTCCAGACACATGTAAACGTTCTGCCGCATAGTCAGCATGTCCTGCAGCAGCATTCTCCAGTGGGCCTCACTGACAGGGGGCTGCCTGGGGGCACAGGGGGGAGATGAAAACGTGACCTCTCTTCAGAATCGGCCAAAAGCAAAATATAAAAATGGATGTCAGCATTCTATATGCCACACACATCTGAAGTAGAATAAGGATGACAGCAGAATTCTGATTGGAAAAAATGCAAGCAAGAAGATAGCTGGGCAATGTCTGCACTACAGCATGCTGGAAAAAAGTGTGCAATGTAAATTCTATATGCAGTGAATGTATCTTTCAAAGACAAATGTGAAATTAGGAGAGATGGACATGTTCAGTGGCGTGAGGGCTTCATGGGGATTTGCATGGTTCAAAGCTTACAATGCTACATTTTAAATAGGTACAATTTATGTTGGTCAGTTATAATTCAAAGAAGTCAGGAAAGAAAAAAAAAGTAGTATTTTGTAAAAACCTGTGCAAGAATCAGTGATTTGTGCTTCATACGTACTTCCGCCCGGTGTGCCTCGTCAATCTAACCATCAGCTTGCGCGCCTCCTCGGAGCTAGATTGAGTATTTTTAACAAAGGAAATGGGTTTCTCGAGTCCATGTTTCTCCAAAATCTCTGACACACTGTCATTAAAAAAAGAATATTTTAAAGTCTTGCTATCAAAGAAAAAATTCTGAGAATCTTAAACATACAAGTATCAAGTGTTCACTATTTTTTAAAAAAATTGCAACATATAGAATGACCCAATTTTTCATATTACATCAATTCTTAGCAAAGAAAAAGCCAATGACTATATATAATCTTATTTCTCCTACTGACTTTATCACAGTACCCTTGAACAAACAATATAGTTTTTAAGAAGCATGGCTTATCATTACCTCAAAATCTTTTTTCTAACTCTCCTGTACTCATGAAGCAACAAGTTGGTAAAACAGGCCAATTCTATCATTTCATTACCCAGCTTTTAACTCTTAACAATCCTACCATGTTTTTTATAGGTGACTGTACTAGAAAATCAATACACAAAGAATTTTAGGATAGAAGAACCACAGAAATATCCCAAGGCTCGATCTCCCTCCAGAATCCAAAAACACAAGCTATTGTGCCATGACTTTTCTGTCTCGGAGGTTCTGTTCCTGACAGCCCCATTCCCCAGTGACTGGTTTTCTGGCCACACCTGATCTGTCTTATTAAATCTCAGATTTATGATTTGAATACTACTGGGCCAAGAGTGTGGCTGGGTAGAATTCGATGACTCTTCGTGGGTCATTCATGGTCACACATCACCTGACACTATATCCACACGGGGTGAAATAAACTGCCTTTATTTTACTTTATCTCTTTGTGATATCTCTACTCAATTTCATTAGGGAAACAAAGGCGATTGTGCAGATTTGGAAGGAGTGGCTCTTTATTGACCTGACCCACTATGCTCTAGTCAAACTATACTCAGTCTTCCAGGCGGTTAAAGGAGGAAAGAAACAAGACAACCTACGATTTTAAAAAGCTTGATTTATTAAAAAAAAATTTTTTAAAAACTTGTATAACTTTCAAACACCAGGGAAATAAGAATCAGAGTAGGCAAAAACAAGTAGAGGTCCTAAGGAAACTTAATTCTTCATTAAACTCATAATATGGTACACAAAAACATGATTCCCTTAAACAGAATACAACTTGAAATATTTTTATACTAAAGTCCCTTAATAGGAATGAATATGAATAAAATTTCTAATTAGTAGACTCCAAATTATTATACTTTATTAATCATATCACCACTAAAAGTGATATTATTACTTAGAGTTTCTATAATTATATATTGGGGGAAAAAGTTTATTATTCCTAAAACAATTTCTAAAATTTTAATACAAATATCTGAAAATTACATGCAAGCATATTTATAGACACATGAAAATAAATACTACTAGACAATTTTAGACTTCCTAAATAATAAATTAGGAAATTTCAGTTCCCAAAGGAAACAGTTCAACAGTAAAGAATATTACTACAGGGTTACTTGGGGACTCTTGAGCAGTTTGATACAATCCCGCTATTCCATCAAATATACCGTGCCCCGGGACCTCCCTGGTGGTACAAGGGATTAAGACACAGCACTATGAAGCTGTGTGCAGCCACTGCAGCATAAGTTCAATCCCCGGCCAGGGAGGTGACTCACATGGCACAGCAGACCTCGCCTGTCACGCCCACTGCTCCCCTCAGCAGTGTATTTCAGTTGATCAGCCTGTTCTGTTCCCCACTCTGTCTCTGGTGAATCCTCTCACACACACACACACACACACACACACACCTCTCTGGCCTGTACCCCAGTGCTTGTATGCATAAATAAATAAATCTTAAGAAAAAAAAAAATGTACCGTGCCCCTGAAAGGAAACTCTGGCACATTATAAACCCAATTTGCTAAGAGAGGGAGCACCGCTGCAGGAACAGCACCTCCTGGGTGCCTGCTCTGTGCAGGGCACCTTCCATGTTTAACCTAATGTCGATCTAATGCTAACTCCACCATCTCAAGAGTTCCCATCACAGAGAAGAAACCTCTCGACTCAGATGTTGCACAGCTGGGAAGGAGCAACGCCAGGATGGGAACGCACCAAATTTCAGAGTTCATGTCCTCATTATTCTACCTCCCTGCCAAAGCACAGTGTTAAAATTCACTCTCAAGACAGCCAAACAACTCTGGCATCAAACTGTAAGTGACCACAAGGCACATTTAATGCGATTATTTCATAGACTTCTCCATCAGCACAGTGCTGGTAAGCAGCCGTTTTCCTCACCTGAGAATCTGCTCCAGCTGGTCCACCTTATCATGAAGAGCTGTGGTGACCTCTGTCTTGTGACTAAAGGATCAGGAGAAAGAAATTAAAATTAGGTTTGAGTTGAAGCTTTTTACATAAAAGGGGAAAAAAGGGTATTTTTGTACAATGTTATACTGTCTGGGTAAAGTCTCTGTCTTAACACCTGAACTCATACTCAGCATCTTCATGACTCAAGAAATTAGATAAAAATACTGGAGTAGGGGCCTCCTTGGTGGTGCAGGTGGTTGAGCACAGTGCTGTGAAGCTGTCCACAGCCTCTGCAGTGCCGGTTCAATCCCCACCGGCCTCAGAGCAACCCACATGGCACAGCAGACCTTTCCTGTCTCGTGCTGCTCCCCTCAGCAGTGCATTTCAGTCAGCCTGCCTGTTCTGTTCCCCGCTCTGTCTCTGGTGAATCCTCTCACCCTCCCGCACCTCTGGCCTGTACCCCAGCTCTTGTATAAATAAATCTTTAAAAAAAATACTGGAGTAGAACAAAATCCTCTATTACAGATTAGCCCAATATGGGCAAAAAGTTCTTTTAGTTCAGTACTGCTAAAAAGCAAAAAAAGACCTATAAATCAATTGTAGTTATTTTTTTAAGATGAAATAGAGGGAAAAGACATCATTTCTGCTCTTAACCAACAAGACAGATAAGGAAGCATGTTCCTGCATACTGGTTTCCTCCCAGGCCTGTCTATACCTCCTGTGGCCCTCCAGGAAGTTTCCATTAGGATTCGTACACTCAGGCTTCCTTCAAGCCCCCTTTCCTACGATATTCACTTCGATATTAAGGAACAGAAGTACAGCCATAATGTAGACAATCCCTCACACACAGGGGATATAAAGAGCAGACCCTTTCTGAGAAAGGAAGTAGACAGAGCACTAGGAGAAACATTGTCATGAAAAGAAGATCATAAACTAACAGAGATGTGACTGGAAAGAGAGATCCGGTCATCACAAGGCGTGTGCCAGCGAGCACAAGGATCTGACTAAAAAGCTCTGCACAAGCTGAGTCCTGTCCCACCACACACGGCTCCCGGCCCCAGCACTGCAGGGAACAGCGGAACCAAGAATCACTGCATCTGACACTCTCAGATGCCTCCAACCAAAGATCCAACAGTATTCCAGCAAGATCTTTAGAGTTTTATTGATGATTTCTAACAGATATTTTTATAAATGCAAAAAAGTAGCTTGATACTCTTTTCTATCTCATTTATGTCTTACTGATTAAAGTCCACCTTTATTATTCCCTGAGTACTTTGTAATTATAAATGACCCCAGTATTAAAGTATAAAACTTCAAAACATTTTCTGTGGTTCTCTTTGTTCTTCACACCAAGTTTGTCAATGAGTATTTTCCTAGTTGTAGGGTAAGGTAAAAAGTATCAGGCTTTTCTGCCCTCCCGCCATTAGGATAGATGACAGAACCCTGTGGTCCTGAATGCATGCCTGATGGCGGCACCTGGAGTGGGGTGTGGGCCTATGTAGATGGGACTCACCTCGGTTAAGACTGTGCTTACAAGGGCGGTGTCACGGGGACGCCAGCAGAAGAGAAGCAGAGAAGCCGAGAACGAACAGAAGGAGAGAAGCAGAAGCAGAACCACGAGAGAGAACGCGAGAGAAGGTCGGAGAGCCCAGAAAGAGTAAAGACTTGCTGGCGGCTGGGAAGCCTCCCGGCCCCCCAGCACCCCTGCCTGCCATGTGCCTGGTAAATCTAAATAAAAAAACCTGCAAAAGCCACTGAGGGCTCCAGGACTCTGGCCCCTCCTTTACCCGGTCTGCTTGGATCAAAAAACCTGCACTGTGGCCCATTCCTGCCCTTACGCTAGTGATTAGATGTTTATTTTTAGTGGTTAAATGATTGTGCCGGTGCACACAGCTGCACGGGTTTCAGGAATACACAGATGCTGAGTTTACACTGGAACACGCCTTTCCCAACATGCAGATTCTCTAACCCTAGCCTGGAGGGGGGTGGAAAGTGAGGTCTGCTGGGGTGTCCATTCTCCATGTAGCCTCACAATTAACAAGGCTAATCGCTTTGATTGCTTCTTGGCTGTCAGTACTTAGACCCTTGATGACATGAATGACCACCATCCATAAAATACAACATTTCTGTAACACAAGAAAATCTGAGATTATCCAACTCCCCAAAATCAAAAGTGGGACAGGGCTGGCAACCCAGCTGCCGTAGAGGCAACTTAACACACTCGCTCACCGCAAAAGGCCGCAGGCCTTCACAGCACCGTTGAGTGTCTTTGATAAAAACTAATTGTCAAGAATCAAGAGATAAAAGAAAGTCAGTTACGTTGGAGATGCAAACAAACAGAATATTAAAAAATCAGATTGTACTGATTTTTCAGGGGGTGGGGAAACACAGGGAGCAGACGGTATTTAGGCATCTGTGAAACAAGAGTCAGATACAATTTTGTTTTTAAGTTAATGACAAAAAGTCCTTGGAAGTAAAATAAGAAAGCCAAAATATATTTTTACATTCAAAAGATGGATTAAAAGATAAAACTGAGGAAATCTCCTAAGTCATTTAACAAAAGATCAAAAAGTAGGGTGAAAAGGACGAAAAAGAGGATTTAAAAGAGCAAATGAAGAGAGCGCAAGCAGAGTTACCAAGGAAACTTATCAAGAAAAAAATGAAGTTTGCCAAAGGTCAAAAAAACCTCTGTTCCAAATTTGGAAAAGATTCTTTAAATGAAAACACATTAAGTTTAGACTCAATAAAACATACCGCTGTATTTCAGAATACTAAGGATGCAGAGGAGGCATGCTAATGCTCCAAAAAGAAAGAAAAATGACCTGGAAGCAGAGGTCTGGAGTGGGGTTGGGCTGCTTGACAAGTGGACGAAGAAGTAAAGGGCGCAGCCTCCCCAGCTCACAAGGAATCCGCCGGTAACTGAGGAGCCCAGATAGGGCCTCTGTCAAGCATCAAGGGCAATTATATTTTTCTGACACAAGACAGGTTTAAAACAAAAATGTCTCCCAGGTACTCTTTGACGGGAAGCAATTAAAGACAATGTTCTATCAAAATGTGGGAATAAATGAAGACAGGAGAAAACAGAAATTCCAGGAATGCCATGTGCAACACGAGCAAGGGACTAAGTCCCCGGATGACAGCTGTGCACGAAGACAGAGAACAGTTCGCTCATCTCAAAACAAGGGAAAAGATAATTCCAAGAAGGATGGTTGGCAGGAAGAGAAGAAAAGGAGAAAGGGAGGGAAAAAAAGGAAAACAACTGAGAGATGAGTAGCTATCTTTGACCCTTGAAAGGAGGGAGGGAGATAGATGAAAACAAAACAAAAGAGGAAATTATCCAATCAGGAAAAACGAAAAGATGCACAAAGAGAAAACACAATCATACCTAGCTTTGTGTAAAAAATATTTACATAACACTGAAATTATTGCTTTAAATGGACTGAAAAATGGGAGGGAAGTAGGTATTGGGAAAAGGAAGGTTTCCATGAAAGGAAATCAATAATTGTCCAACATTGCAAAACTGATAAATAGCAACATGAGCATTATCTCCTAAAGGAGACAGGCAAAGAAGAGAAAACACAATCTAAAGAGTGTTTGCTTCTAGGAGACAGTTATCTGAGGATGGGGAAGGTGGAGTAGCCAGCTGCCCCACCTATTACAAGTTTTCCCATTCCCTGACTGTCACGAGGTCACACGATATAGTAATTAGTAGCAGGAGGGGATGAACGTCCCCTTGGTCTCCTGATTTTAAAACAGTGCCTACCCATGCCCGCCAATTTGTCTTCACAACAAATTTTCAAATTTTCAAAAGTGAAGGACAAGTTGACACGTAGAACAGCCCGTATTCTGTACTGACGGTTTCCTTTTGGTGTATGTAACTTGCTTCCCCATTCCTGGCATTTAGTGTGAATGAGAAATTTGGACTGAAGGACCGATTAGACTCAGGATAATCAATTTCACTTTCATGCCGCATCCTACCAGGCGGCACATAATGCTGGCTGTTTGACTGTAAGTGATGCCATATTTCATTACTTGATTGAAGGTGAGAGCAGTCAGGTTTTGATATAACAAAAAAAAATAAAAATAGCTGCTGGTATAATCACCCATTACTGTAAAAAGTATTTTTGTTGAGGTGACTGGGATTGTATTTTTGTTGTTTTGCAACAGGTAATTCGTTCTCAAAGTTGGAAAATCCTAGTGACTTCCCATATACTAATAAAAGAATAGAAGTTGATGCAACAAGTTTGCAGATGATTTCATTTTCTTCTTTATATTTTTCAATACTCGCAAAATTCTCTATAATGAGCAATTGAAGTGATAACATTTTCATTTTAACTGCCAGGATAAAAAGGCACAGCAATAAGACTGGCTCACTGTGGCTTCTTACCCATATCCTCTTTGTGGCAGACACTCTAAAATGTCATAGCAAAGAGAGAGTTGGTCGTTTCGCTCACAGTCATAGATGCACTCCAGTGCTACTGCCATCAGTTGGTCCTGATCAGGAATAATCTTTTGCTGCAGCTAGAGAAAATAAAGCATATACTAAATGTCAGGATTTATAGTCAGTTTTCCCATATCCCAGCACCACTTTCAATAGAACATTGAAAAGTGCAATAAATCAGTTGCAGAAACAAATCTTGATTTTTCTTTAAAGACTTTGGGGTCCTTAATAATTCTAAATGAAATCACATTTTAATTACAGAATCAGTCAGAAAGATAATTTGTACCCATAAGCTTTGCATCTGCTAAAACCACATTTTTCAATTTATGAGCCATTCAAGATTAAACAGATAGAAGAAACACAGTAAATGAAGACACAATTCATTAAAAACATTTCTAACCCTAAGGCCAAATTTTATGTTTCAATTATAGAGATATATAAAATTCCTTAACTAATATTCAAAGATATTAAGAACCTACTATATTGCAGTATGTGGTATATGTTAGTCATTTAACTAAGCAGTACTGACATTCATTTGAAAGAAGTTGCATTATAATGCAATAATATTCAAGTCACAAAACAAGCTCCATGTTTTTGATACAGAAAAATGGCTGCCCTGGGTTACTTTTCTATACAAAATACACAATCTCCCATTGTAAACAAAAGATTTCCATTCTTAGAACATTTTCTGGTATATAAAATAATTTCATGACGTGTGCCTTGTTCTTCCCATCTACAAAACTGGGCTATTAATAGCATCTTCCTAATAGCCATGTTGCAGGAATGAATAAACTAACGCATGCAGAATGATTACTTTACTACTACCCAGGAAACCAAAAGAGAAGTTTGAAATTACTTCTTTGAGCTCTTTTCAACAACAAAATTAGTTTTGAATAATTTCTGCCACAAAAATCTACCTGTTTCAACATTTTAAACAGAAACTCATCAAATAGGAAAATGACAGAGAAAAGCTGCTGAATGGAGCATTTTCTTAATGGAAAAAATCAACATCAGTGAAAAGAAGGAAGAAACTATCAGGGTTTTCTCAAGTAGTTGTGAAGGATTTATATACATTTTTAAAGGTACAAATACATATATATATATGATTATTTTGACATTAACATTTGTCAAAACTATTCAAGGTTGCAAAACGACAAACTGATCAAATACAGGTGAATCTGAACCTGTAAATTTGTGGATTCTCACAAGTGTATACATCTAAATAAACTTTGAACAATTAAAAATATACTACTATAAAAGAGAGAGAACATGAGAAGGCAGAAAACAGTCTTCCAAGTTCCTATCTATTCAGACTTGCCAAATTTCTTCCCAAGTTCCATTTTCCAAAAGGGAATTCAAGCAAAGGACCATGGCTTAAAATCAGAGATGAGTACTTCCAGCCAGGACATTATAAAGGGGAGGAAAGATCTGAGGCCATGGAACTTCCTTTGGCCTATGACAACAGAGAGGATGTAACCAGAGGCAACTGCAGCTAAAGCTTTAAGCGTCACTATAAGGTTCTACTCTGTTTTCTGTGCCACGAGTTAGGAAAGAGGACTGCTCTTTCAGCCTGAGTTGTGAAATGAGTAAGACATGGAACACAGCAGAAGCCCCCCTGCAATTTATAACATTCATTTCTAAGAAATGAATGCTTGCTACCAAGATTTAGAGGTCCATTTGTTAATGCAGCGTAACTTAGCCTAAGTCATCTGATACAAAAATCTCTGCTTCTCTTATATTACTAAAATATTTTACACACAACTCATGGCAGATTCAAGATAAATTATTTTTTTCAAAACAAAGAAGTACAATAAAAAGACTGCTGCAAGCATAGTCCTAGTAAAGCAAACAAACACGATCAACGAATTCTTGCATTACAATGAAACCCAGTTTTGATTCATTCATTCACTTTCACTCATGCATTTGTCCTGCCAAAATTTACCAAATACTTGCTCTCTACCTTGTAGAATCCAGTGATCCAGAGATACATGAGACAAAGAGGGCATACACAGGAAACACAGAAAGGGAGACAAACATGGGTTCAAATCATTACTACACAGTATGATAGTTTTTTTCTTTTAAATAGAGGCAGGAAAAAGAACTTCACAGCACAGATTGTCATGGAAGATTTCAGAGTAGAGAGAATCGTACCCTGCAGGATCTTGGTGGCTAGGTAGGCATTCGCTAAATGAAGGAAAGGGTCTGATTATCCAAAATGTTATAGGAAATAACCTATAAAAGAGCAACATCTCTTATAATCAGGGAAATGCAAATTAAAACCACAATGAGATACCACCTTACACCAGTAAGAATGGCACATATCAAAAAAACAAGCAACAACAAATGTTGGTGAGGATGTGGTGAAAAAGGAACTCTCCCGCACTGTTGGTGGGAGCACAGACTGGTCCAACCACTATGGAGAGCTGTGTGGAGGTTCCTCAGTCTACTAAAAATGGAGCTACCATACGACCCGGCAATTCCACTACTAGGGATCTACCCAAAGGACACAAACACATTGATTCAAAAGAACACCTGTATCCCTATGTTTATTGTAGCACTATTAACAATAAATAAAACCTGGAAACAACCTAAATGCCAAAAAATAAATGACTGGATCAAGAAGATGCGGCATATACGCACAATGGAATATTATTCAGCAATCAAGAAAGATAAACTCATGCCATTCACAGCAACATGGATGGAACTAGAAGGAATTATGCTCAGTGAAACAAGCCAGAGGAAAAAGAAAAATATCAGATGGTTTCACTTATAGCAGGAATATATGGAAACTAAATAAGACATCAGTATAAAAAACAGTAACAGTACAAAACACAACAGAGCAAAAACACACAATTATAAACCAGAGACATCCTGCAGGGATGAGGAGGGAGAGGGATCAGAGGGAGGGAGGGAGCAGCACAGGGGACTGAGGTGATGGAGCACGGGTGCATTGGGGAAGGAAACTCTATGGGGATTACACCTGAGGGGGTGGGGGGGAGCAAAATATTGTTTAAAAATGAACAATGATGGGAAAAAAATGCTTAATATTAAAAAAAAAAAGCAGAACGTGTAACAACCTGACAGAGGAAACAGATGGGAAGTTGTCAGTAGCCTAGTACATGCATGAAGGGGTGGAAGGCTGAAGAGGCAATGGAAGTGGGTCACAAAGAAGTCTCCCAGTTACTGAGGAGGGCCAACCTTGACCCTGCAAGAATGATGGGTCACTGGAGAGTTTCCAAAGATCATGATGTAATTAAATTTGTGTGGATTACAAATTTAGTCAAATCTGTCTTAATCACAAAGATAATGCTGATAGAAATATATAGTCTGGATAGGAAAGGAAGAGCTGAGCAACACTACTGTTCTGTTTTAGTGTTTACGTATTTCAGCAAAGGCAAAGGGCTCTATGTTTTATTCAAAAGGCACATGTTAAATTGCTAAGTAAAAACAACAAAAAGCTGATGATATACGAAGGATTTACAAGACTCTGTAAGTAAGAAGTATCACAAACAAGATTACTGGAAAGAATTTAAAGTCACTTCCTTCTTTCTCATAAAACATTCATATTCAATTCATCCTGCTTCTCACAGAGTGTTCTGCTGTCATAAGCAACCCATTCTTAGCTCTCAGTAAACTACCCCAAATTTAAAATCTGAACACTAAGTAGAAACTAGTTATGGGAAATTTTAAATAGTCCATGGTCAGATACATTTCTGATAGGTGTCTTCAAATAACATGAAAAATTTAACATGAAAAGACCTATCTACACCTACATATACAGCAGCACTGTTTACAATTGCCTAATCATGGCACCAGCCCAAGTGCCCTTCAATAGATGAACGGATAGAGAAACGGGGAGCATATATTCGATGGACTATTACACAGCTGTGAATAAAGATGAAGTAATGGCAGTTCACACAAAATGGATGGACCTTGAGGTGATTATTTTGAGTGAAAACAGCCAGAAAGTAAAAGACAGATTTCAGATGGTTTCACTCCTCTGAGGAATACAAAAACCAAAAAAACAATTACATGCAAACAATAGAAGAACTTAAAATTTGAACTCGGCAAAAAAAGAAGACATTTACCAGAGGGAGGAGAAATAAAGGTGGAGGAGATGGGACAGGAAGGCAGATGGGGTATGGGACTGGGTGGTCTGATGGAGGCTAGATAGATAGATAGATAGATAGATCAATAAATAAAACTCCCTGAAACTTTAAAATTTTACATTAAACTTTTTATGAGCAAAGGAAAAGAATTATAGTCTTCACCAAATATAAGAGTTATCAAGAATGAATACAAGATCTCCTTATGAGACGGTAAAGATTTTCATAATATTTTGCTGGTCCCCAAAGGCAGGTATCACAGTAAAGCAGCATGATAAGGAACACAGCTGGGAAGCAGAACACATGTTCGGATTCAGGCTCCTCTGCCTACTCTGTCACCCGGGGCATTGTCCAAGCACACTACATCCCAATTTTCATTTTTCTGTGTTACTATATAATAAAAATATCTGCCTCAGGGCCTCCCCTGCTGGCACAACGGTTGAGTACTGGGTTGTGAGGCTGCCTGCAGCCTCTGCAGGGCCAGTTCGATCCCCGGCCACCGGCGAAGGTCCCACAAAAAAAAAAAAAAAAAAAAAAAAAAAAAAATCTGCCCCAGAGAACTGCTACAAGGATGAAATGAGTTAATACTTATAAAGTGCCTGCCTATAGAGAAAAACATAAACCTATCAACTATTAGTCTTTTTGGTATTGCCCATTTCCAAAATAGTGTCAAGGAACATTTGAGAGAATCAATCAAAATAAACATAATTTTATGAACATCAAAAAAAAATTGAACTACACTGTTGACATGGTGACACTATTGACATTTTAAGTGATAAAATGTCAACCATTCCCTTTTCTGTTTAAAGGGACATTACTTACACAGTCTATTTTAAAAAGCGATAAATACAATCTAAAACTGCAGCAGGAAAAGGGCAGAGATTTTTAAGAATTTCTACTTACGTCTGGTTTGGAATGTTGAAATATCTTCAGAGGGAGCTTTAAGTCACCCTTAGCTAGAGTCACTAAATACTCTTTTAATAGCTCATTCGCCACACCTGGAGACTGTTTCTCGCAACGATGAAGAAAGGGAACCATCCACTGGTAGGCACTGGTCACATACTTGTCCTCAGAACACTGAAAATACAATTAGCCGAAACACACACACATTGAGTGCCTGATTGTCCATTTAATGCATTCTAAAGCTCACAGATAATTAGATGACAGGTAAACTGTGAAAACCTCGCACTTTCTAAAACAAGCATCAAGTTCGAGCCTCACAAGGAGGCAGAGAGGCAGCAGGGGAGTCCTCTCTGCCTGGGGCGAGCGGGGTTCACAGCAGCACAGCACTGTGACCCACTCTGTACACCACCCCACATTGTCCCCAACAGGCCAAGCCCAGTTCTCGAAGATAAACAGACTATTTCTACCAATCAATCGTGAGGGCATCGAGAGCAAAGGGGGAGGGAGGGAGAGAGAGAGAGAGAGAGTGTGTGTGTGTGAGAGAGAGAAGCATTAGAGAGATCACAGACCAACAGAAAGCAGAAACGAAAAAGAACGGAAAAGAACAGAAAGACAGAGAAGACTAAATATTAAAGAAGCTCGGGAAGAGAGCTCCCTGAGAATGCAGTCTCATCTACAAAATCCCAGAGGCTCTACTTTTCTTTTCCTCTCCTGCTTTGTTTTGACCCTTCACATCCTTCTTCACAAAACTCCAAATGACACAGAAAATCATACACGTTAACTCTTCGATCTCCCAATTACCCAAGAGATACACATGGATTTCTCAAGAGTCACACACAACACTGGTCAACTTTCACTGGGCCCATCATCAGGACAGGAAAATCAGTAAGAGAAAGGAAAGGCAGGGACAGAGGGAGAGAGGCCTACGAGGAATGAGAGATGGGAAGTGAAGCAGGATGAAACCAAAGTATGAATCAGAGAAAGAGTCAAGGGAGAAAAACCAGGAGCTGTGACCACCCCTTCCGGACCCTCAAGGCAGATCATCACAGAGAAGAGTGCTGACAGAGCCCCAGGAGGCGCTAGCACCCCCCGGGGGACCTCAGTCTTGTCTGGAGGGGTCTCTCTACCCAACAGGCTTAGCAGAAATAGGTTCTAACTTGGGGGAATACTCTGTCCAGGGTAACCCAAGAGAAATCTCGGAGTGGCTGACAAGTTCCCTAAACATTCTGACTCTGAAGCCAAGATGCTTTCTTCACACACCCACCTGGCGCTCTGACGCCACTTTTCTTTTAAAGTCCTTTAAATATGAAAGTAGTGGGGATTTTCACACAGTGAAGGGCTAGATACCTGGTGACGAGGGTGGCCAGTACACTTAGAAGCATGTCTGACTCAGATGAAAAGGAAAAGTCACACAGATGAGGAGATGAACAAAGGCAAGCGAGGTGCAAGAATGGTCCAGGAAGGTGTGGGGGCCTTTACTAAATTATTCATGTCATTTGATTTTTTTTTAATTAGTTAAGAAATCTTCCTTTATTTACTAAGTTCTCAGGTTTAAAGGGCATTTCATCTCTGGCTTTGAAACACATTCATCAGAGCACACAGGGAATGGTGAGAGGAAGTTGAAATAAAACCTACACTATTCATCAATAATCTTAGTTTGTCAATGTCTTTCATCTGCTGGAGTTCTTTCAAGGTCAGGGTTAAATCGCAGCCAGCTTCATAAACCATTGCCTCCAGAGTAACCAGGTCATCACACAGAGCCAGCAAGCCAGGGATATTCCTCTCCATTCCAAGTCGAACAAGGGACAAGGCACAGCCAACCTAAAATGGAAAGGCGACAGTCAGTCTCGGAGTCTTAAATCTCAACCATATATTCTGAAGTAAAAGCCTCCACGATGGCATCTAATTCTTGAAATCATTTTACATAAAACTGCATTATCAGGAACATACTTTTATTACAGAAACATTAGCGGTCTTTATCAAATACAGCAGCATCAAACTGTTTCAAGAGAACCGATCAGCACAAAATACTGAAGATAAAAGGAAAACCAGCACCTTAAATTCATAGCGCAGTTGTACATGTATTTATTTATTTAATTCTCACACCATCAACAGACAAGAAAAGAAAAACAGTGGCAATGCCAGGCTAATCCTGTTTCATTCCACCGCTGTCTCCAATGATAATGTCTGCCCAGTGCCGGCCCCTGCACACCTCTCCCACAGGCAGCACTCAGGAAACACGTGGTGAAGGGCAAACTCTTGTCTCGATTCAAATATTTAGACCTTATTTAAATAAAATGAAAAATGATGTTCCTACAGACGCTGGGTAGTTAGCAATCTGATTCCCGTCACGTGATCAGGTTGATGAAATGACATATTCTGCCTTGATGGCAAGATCAAGTAAAGTGGCCTCAGCCTGCAACGCTGCTTCCTTAACTTTCTTACCGCTACATTAACAATTACTTATCGACACCTACTATGAGCTCTGTATACATTTCTAAGTGTTAGGAGTATGAAACTAAAGACGATGAGGTCTCTCCGTCACAGAGTCTCCCAGAGGAGGGAATGCCCAAGGTGCGCTCGCAAGAACGGCTCTTAGCAGGCACAGGAGGAAGAAGGGCAGGAGAGCAGCATGGAAGACAGAATGTGTCGTCAAAGCTCACTTTGCTCCTAGCCTGAAAAGAAGGTATGACATGAAGGGAGGAGAAGCACCACGACAGTGGTAAGAAATTTTTGCTGAACTAAAGAATTGGTGGTTTGTCCTGAAAAGCAATACTACCAAAGGGCTTTTGACTGGAACAAGGTAAACATAGATGTACGCTTTGGGAAGAATACTTTGTACTTACTGAATGAGGAATGAAACGTGAGTGATGAACTGGAAGCAGGCTGAACTGCGAAGAGGCAGCCGAGTGAGGAAAACCGCAGTTCAGTATTGTTAGTTTAGTAGTAGAGGACCCTGCAAGTGGCCAAGGCAGCACCCAAGGGGATAGCAACACTGAAGGGACAAGTCAAAGAACAGGAGCTTCCGGGGGAGACCAAAAATGAATGGCTAGGACAAGGGGAAAGGCGACAGGCTATCACCGGCTACCAGCCTAAGAGGAGACACCGCAGGAAGCAGTCGCAAGAAAGGGCCGGGATGTTACTGGGCAGATGAAAGGGGTCGGACACTCAGAGGCGGACCAGGAACCGAGGGTGGGAAATGGAGACAAACACTGAGAAAGCGATGGCCAAGGGCAGCGCAACTCCTCGGCTGATTTGTTATGGGAAGAAGACAGCTACGACAGCAGTCAGGGAGAAATGGTTCTTCATTTTTATTTATAAAACAGGATTGATTAGAAATTCATTAAAGCACGCACACACACACAAAAGGCAGTAGAGAAGGACTGGGTGAAGAGACAGGAGACAGGACAGGGCTGCCAGCAATCCCAAGCCAGGGGGATGTGGACTGCAAAGCAGCCAGAATGAGGGGAACTGGAACAAAACAAGACCTTCCTTGAGGAAAAGCTGGTGGGAGGGAGGGCACATGAAAATGAATTCTGAAATTCCCAATTCTCACAGCAAAACCATTTGCTTACAATCAGGAACTAAGGGTGGGGGTGTGCAGAGCAGAAGGGGCAAGGGAACAGTCAGGCAGTGCAAAGGGAAAACCACCAAGCAAATTTAAAGGCCTAGAAAGCCTTTCAGAGACCCAGGGACTGACAGGTGAAGGCGAAGTGAAAAAAGGGAAAGGTATTTTCAGCTGGAACTAGTGGTACAAACAAATAGAAGGGGAACAACTATCTAGATAAGGCATGAAGCAAAGCAGGAGTGACCTGGTAATACTTCAACAGTCAGTGTTTTTAATTAATGTCTATTAAAGAAAAAAACCCGGGTCTGATTCAGCTACCCGAATACATTGTTTTTAGGAAACATAATGTCAGGTGAATTTTCAGGAAGCATGGAGAAAACTGATGGATGCATAAGCCACAACCCAGGACACACAATAGATGAGCAATTATTTTTGTAAATAAGATGTCCATGATTTTCACATCGGGATAATCATTTGATTTGCTATCAAAAAAATGTTATGGGTCTAAGAGCTGACAACCACTACCTTTGAGAGTGATTTATCTTGCACTCTGTGTAGGGTAAAGAAAATATCAGGCTTTTCTGCCCTTCCGCCATCAGGATAGATGATGGATCCTTGTCCTGAATGCATGCCTGATGGCGGGCACCTGGAATAGGGTGTGCGCATAGGTAGATGGGATTCAGCTGAGCTAAGACTGGGCTTTTAAGGGCGGCGTCACGGGGACGCCAGGAGCAGCAGTAGAAGCCGAAGCAGAAGCCGAAAGAGAAGCCGAGAAGGAGCAGAAAGAACGCCAGAGAGCCCAGATAGAGTGAAGACTTGCTGGGGGCTGGGAGGCTGGCAGGCCTCCCAGCCCCCCAGCCAGCACCCCTGCCTGCCATATGCCTGGTGAACCCCAATAAAGGACCTGCAAAACTACTGAGGACTCTGACTCCTCCTTTACCCGGTCTGCATGGGATCAGAAAACCTGCCTTGTGCCCTCTCCGGCCCCTACACTCTGCAATTAAGATTTGTGAAATTGATCATACTGATATGGACTCTATAGGAAAGATGATTCAAACACCGGGTCTTGTCTGACTCAGCCACTGTGTGTCCTGAGCAAATTGCTCCCTTTCCTTTCCGTAGACTTTGGTTTATCCCCAACAAAGAAAATTACACTAATTGCCTCCAGAGATTTTCATTCTGCTGACAAGGAGTCTAATGACTTTCAAATGTGTTCTCATCCTTGCCCATCTTCAACAACCTAAAGAGTTAATAATATTCTTGGCCATCTCCCACAAAGGTCTGAACTATAATCAGACCTTCCCATCAGTTCAAACAAATAATTCCTCAAGTCTAGGAATATGAAAAGTTAGAATTAGATTGAGCAGGCATTTGAGAAAGCTGTCAACTGGGGACAAGGGCCAAGCCAGATAGATTAAAGTAGAAGTTTAAACAAGGGGTACATGTTCCTTCTCACAGTACTGCTGCTCCTCAAAACCTCTGAGTCATTCTTCCTGGCAAATAAAAATCCATGGAAAAAGAGAGATGGTGCGAAGCCAAGACTGCAAGCAGGAGAAGGTCACCCACTGGCCAGCTCCCTCTGAGATTTCACAGTATGCTCTGCCATTCTTTGCTCTGAATTACCATCTACTCTTCCCTGAAGTGAAGACAACTGTTCTGACATTTGCAGTGAAGTCAATTTGCAGAAGCTTTAATAATCTCTCCTGTGTGTTTTCTTTGCTCTCACTGACTCTGGTGTAAGAACTAACGCCTTCAGGGAAAAAAATCAAGACACGGAAGAGGTGGGTGGGAGATCCAGAGTCAATAGGTCTATCAGATGAAGAGTTAAGGTTAACCTGAGACACCCTAAGCTTCGGTACGACCATCCTCTCTCTTCCACGGCCCTCTCTTACAGTTACAGCTGCAGTTATTATGCATCTCAGTAAAGGCACACAGTCCCTGAGGGAAATTAGGCTTTGACCTAAAGAAAATGTCAGAAATTAGAGCATGAAACATGGATCCTGAAAAGCAAATTAACAATCAGCTGCAATAATGCAACATGACAGGGGACTAATCAGCAAGTCCAGGTTGATACAATCTTTTAAATTAACATGGTCTCAAACTATTAAAGTATGTGGGAAATCTGGGACAGTTTGTACCATACTTTGCAGCTTATAATTTGAAGAAAACTTTTGGAACAATTTTTCATATATGTATTTGCTCTTTAAGAAGGAAAAAAGTCACAAAACTTTCTGAGGCACAGCATACGTGAACAAAAGCAGTAAGAAATAGTCCCTTTGTCCTTAGCAAACTATATGCACGATCCTGGCACCACCATCGCCACCGCTCCACAGTGCGCCTGAAAGGCCAGCGCACGGCCTGCCTCCTTCCCCTCACCTGCCGGGAGTAGTGCTCTATTTCCTCTGCCCGGGTCTGGTACCAGTCCATCACCTTCTCCACTGCAAGCTGGGTAGTCCTGTATTGCAGTAACTCTGGCTGGGCAGCGTACAAGAATTCACTTTCATCTGGGAGAGTTGGCTCAACCACTGTTCTGCAAAGCACAGAAGGAACAATTAATAGTTGACTGGAATGCTAGGAAAATTACAGTGTGTGTGTATCTGTCTCTGTGTGTGTCTGTCTGTGAGAGGATAAGAGTGAGAGAAAGATGCAAAGAGAGAGTAGGTACAGAGAAAGGGGATATGAGTGAATTTTCAGGTGGGGAGTTTGCGCACACTTATAAATGGGACATTTTTGGGAAACTTCATTTATTTTCCTATTAGTTTTTCCAATTTAAAAAAATCAGAATGGACAGTAAATCAAAACAAATAATTAGTAACCAAATCCGCATCACCCCACCATAAGACACGAGCGGCAGGTGCCTGCCACAGAGCCACTGAATCTAAATTACCGATGACGGCCAGTCAGGCCCTGGCTTAGTAAATCACTCCCCGGTGATTCCAATTCAAAAATAAATTAAGAAATTCTTATTGTATAAATGGAAGTTCCTAACTAGTCTCACAACTGCCTTAAACATTCTGATCACTGATCTTGCCCCATGGGACACAAGTCACTTGAAATTTTCCCTTCAAAGCTGCCACATTTCAGCAAAGAAAAATACCCACAAGTAACTCTGCATTCCTTGGATCCTTTTACAGTCCTGATCTTATTTTCCTCTGAGCACCCATGGATAGAATTTAACCACTTCCTCTCCTAGGAACCCGCTTGCCTCTCATTCCAGATTGCCATGCTCTCACTTTTTCCCCATTTCTGGCCACCCCTTCTCAGTCACTTTGCTAGAACAGCCTCCTCTAGCCAGTCACCCCCATAACTCACCACAGACATTACACTGCCATTTACCCCTACCCTGGAATTCCGGCAAAGTTCCAAAATCTCCCTGATCTTTGTTTTTAAGATGCTTCACAAGCATGTCCAATGCAACTAGATCAAACCTGAATTCATTGTATCCTCAGGTAATACCGTTATCCTTTTCTAACAGAAATCTGATTATATCATCCCCAGGCTGCCTTTTATAGCCTGCAGTCTGCCTTAAAATATTCTAGTGTCGACTCAGTGCCAATCTCAATACCCTGTGTCCTCCAGCAACGCGGGCCACTCCTTCAGTCCTTGAAGCAGCCTCGAATCCTCTTTCTGCTTGAACACACCGCCTTCCTCATTTGCCAACTCATCCTCCACTGAGCTAACCCCTCTTCACCCTTCAAATCTCAGGTTTTGTCACTGGCACTGACCTCTCGCCTTTTCAATGTATCTCTTCAATCTCTCATGACAATCGGTAACGGAGGACTTCTAGTTAAATATAACCAATAAAGGCCATACACTTAGCTCCACTTTCTCCTGAAACCCCCTCTAAACACTAACAGGTCTTTAAAAAGGGGAAAGGGTGGCATAAACGCACGAGGAGACTCGGGGTATATGGAGTAAAACGTAACTAAACCATTATGTTTCATTCTTCGAAGTCAAGAGAGGGCAACCAGAACTGAAGACCAAGAAGCAGCTGTACAATGATGTTATTCAGAGACTGGAGCCCATGCCAAAGAGTCACGTGAAAGAAGGAAAAACAGTTGCCTCTGGAGAGCATGACATGCAGGAAAGGGAACGAGGACCGTGGATTTTAGTTGTGCTTTCTGTTTTTAAACAAGCTTAGTAGAATGCTTTGAGGTTAATCTACTGGCAAATACAAAATGACATTTGGATGATTCCATTTCTCCCGCATGATGCAGTAGCTAGTGTGAGGGGTTGCCTAATGTCCAAAAACCTGGAGGTTCTGTGGCTCAATTCATGAGTGGAAAAATTAAATCTCCGATATCACATGGGGGAGTACGGAAGGTGAGACGGGGAGGGTGTGCACCTGATGAGGAGTGGGGGGGAGGTAAGGGGCTCGAATGTTCATCATGTGGATTCCCACCCTGCTTCCTCTCCATCCACTTCCCTGGAATTTGGTGCTGCCACACTGTAAGGCTTTTTGAGGTGACGTTTTTTAAAACTGAATCAAGAACAGAACACGTTTACCACAGAGTAACTTTGAAAATTATATCCGTACACATCAAAAACTAAATAGGGAACACCTCAAAGTGAAGAGCTTTTGCAGAACATATTTTCAGAGTAATTGTAATTTTTTCAGTATTTTTCCATTAAAAATTTTTAATGAGTAAAAGTCAAGTTTTTTTTTGTTGCTTTTTGTTTTGTTTTGTTTTGTTTTGACTTCACTCAAACCCTTTAAATCAGGGGCCACCATCAAGAAAGTGATCACACGCCTCACACCACCATGACAGGCCTTCTAGTCACACATCCACAAAGAAATAAGGGCCCTCGTGCAGGCCCAGTCTTACCTGCATTCCAGCTCCTCACACCAGTCTTTATTTCGGTGTTTCTGTTCATGCCAAGGGATGATCACCAAGGAGTCACCATTACGACTTAAATTGAAAAAACAAACAAAGACATTACCTCAATGACTGGCCACACAAGAAACATGATGTGAAGAGTACCCTTAATTCTCCAAGACTCCTATTTATGGTATGTGATCAGGTGCCATGTAACACACACTGCACATAAGATGCAAAGGAAAATGCCAAATTGTTGATTCCTCTTGATCACAAATTGATTCAAAAAGGAGAAAACAAAGCAAAATAATTGGCAAGAAGCTAAAGCAGGGCATGGGCATGTGTTCAGCCACACACTCTAAACATTTACCAAGAGTCTAGATTTTATGTTCTTAATACCAACAAAAATTGTCCCCTGCCCTCAGAGAGTTTACAATCTAACTTGCAGAGGTCGCGGAAAAGTTCCACAACTGTGTTATCCAATATGGTAACCACTAGCTACATGTAAATATATTAAACACTTGAAATGTGGCTACTAATACTAAGGAAGAAAACAAAGTTATTTGATCATAAATAACTAAGTTATTTAAACTAAGTTATTATTTATCCAATGTTAATTAAAATTTAAAGAGCTACACGCGGCTACCGGCTACCATGTTAGACAGCACAGACCTGAAAGACAAGTCACGGCAAGACTGAAGAAATGACTTTCCAGATTAAAAGTATCAAGAAAAAAAGATAAGAGACTCTAAAGGAGGCAAAAATAAGGTCTGACTGGACAGAATTAAGAATAAATTAAAAAGGAAAAGTGAGGAAAACACAGTAGGAGACTGTAACAGCAACGCACTGCCATCCAAAAGGCCGAGGGAATACAGTGGCCTCTGAACTCTAACTGTCTGTGCAGGTGCGGGCGTGTGGCTTCTAAAGTGAGGCGCTCCAAACACTACCTGTAATGTCCCTGCTACCTCTGACACCCCCCACACATCCATAGAAACAACTGAAACTGAGTTAAGAATAAAGACAAAAAACAAAGTTTTTTTAAAAACAAAGTTCAACTGCCTTGCTTTTATAGTTCTATAAAACACTTTGTCTCATATGTCTAAACATCAATGGTTCAGCTTTCTCCTAAAATTTATCATAGCCCCAGAGAAAGGGCTGTACTTTCTTATATTATTAGGCTGTATTTTGTACTTTCTTATTTCACCAGGCTATGAACATGCCTTGCACAAGAGACACTTCATAAATGTTTGAAAATAATGTTGATGAAGAGGTCGGTCTTCATGGGAAGGTAACAGGAGGCCACTGGAGAGTGTCAGAGCAGAAGAAGGCAGCAGAAGGGTCCAGAATGGGTTGTGCAGATGCACTGAGCAACTTCACCCCTTTATGGTTATTACTACTGGAGCAAATTATCCAAAGTCAAAGTTCCCCATTGGATACACAGAAGAAGAAATTTATTATACTACATATTTAAAGCACAATATTTTGTTACCTCCTCTTGAGCTAACACTTACTGGCCTAGCAAACTATGCACCAGAAGATACATTTTTTGAGACATTTGAGTTCACATTTTTAAATGTCTGGACCATACAGATGATTATTTAGAAGGGGTGCCACAATCACACTATTTCATTTGTCACCAAGTGAAAAACAATTTTATCTTCTTCCATGTCAGTAACTAACATTTTACCACAGACCACTGCAATGAAAATTAAGAGAAAATGCATCTGGATACAATGCTGATGATAATGCTCAGTCTTTCAACCTAAGAATAAATTACAGCAATGAACTGAGGAATGAGGAAAAAAATAAACATATTTTTGCTGCTTTTCTAATTAAAGAACACATGGTTCTATAAACTACATAAAATATTTTCTGAAAGAATTTTTTAAAAATATATCACAAGTTGAGATATTTATTTTCTATACAAAGTAGTATAATTAGATACAAGTTATTAAAATGATTAGTAATGGTGTCAGATCTTCGGCAAAAAAAAAAAATCAATTTGTTATTTAAAAAACAAAGTTGTAAAACTTATTTTATGCTTCAATGAACAGAAATGGGTAAGAAAACACACCTGTTTTTATTAAAACAGATATCATAGATAAGGTCCTCTCGGAGGGCCACACCACAAGGTAGGCCTCATCTTCCCAGCACAGCACAACTAATGTTTCTAAAAGTGCAGATCAGCACTGACAGTGTAATACCAGTTCTAGCAGTATTATGCCAGCCATGGTGAGCAACAACCATCTTTAGCATGTATTGACTCCTTACCAAGGACTAGACAGTGGGCAATGCTTTAACATTCAGTACCTCAGGGAGTCCTACCCATGTGATGTAACAGGTGATACTATTGTCCTTATATTTTAACGAGAAAACTGAATTCACTTATTCATTCATCTTCATAAAGCTAAAATATGACAGAGCCAGGATTTAAACACCAGCAGACATAATTCAAAGCTGACACCTGCAGTCAGCACATATCCCATCTAAGGAAGGGCAGACCCCCACCAGAGACCACCCTCACTCCCCTGACGCCCTGCCACAGGCAGAGGAGTCACCAGGTGGGGTCTGGGCCCAGCAGGGTAGGGGACTTTGAGCTGCCCCTACCCTGAATTCAGACAGCCCACCAAATTTGTTTCTATGTATAGTTGTAAGATACATTTAACCCAAGATGTAAAACCAGTCTCAACACAGGCAGGTCACTAAGTGGCTGGGAGGGATACTAACATGGTATCTAGACAGCTGGACGTGTCACTGTACTGCCTGGGAAAAACAAAGCTCTCAGAATACCTATTTCCCAAAATCTCACCACTACACTTCAAAATAACTGATTAATCCTGTCATTACCTTTTTTTAAATGGACAAATTTTGGTTACTTATTCTTTCACAAGACAGGCAGGATTACAAAATGCTTTATAAAATGCAGAGAAATACTTAATCCTTTTTCTTTAATTCTGTTCATGACAAAAATATTGGTCCTGTTAATCACTAAATAAGTTAGGTAAAATTGTGGTTCAAAAAAAAACCCAGAAAATATACTGCTCCTTCCAAAGAACTATAAAGTGTGGTTAGCTGCAAAACTTTTATTTTGAATCCAAGTTCTATAAACACAAATTATTTTCATAGACTTTCATCTTTTTCTTCCATTGCTTCTACTTTGCTTGGAAAATCTTAAAATGTACTTGTATCATCATCCCCACTAAAAAAATGAAAGTACATGGTAAACTTAAATTATCTCTTTACAAAATAATGGCTGCTTTTGCTTAATTTTAGGATTCTTTATATTATAACCCTATTCGTTGTTTTATTCCAAACAATAAACTTTGCTGGTTTCATCTGAAGGTAATATTTATCTGTCAGCAGGAAAGGAATGAATATAACGAGTTCTATTATGTTCAACTATTCTCTCACCAATTATTTCTCACACTATCTATAAATGTTTTATTTCAAAGAAATTTTATCAAGAATAAACTTAACAAAAGTTCTTTTATTTGTGTTCTGTGTCTTGGAAACAAAAGCTAAATAGACAGTGTATTACTACTAATTGCCACCTTCTATGCACTGGTTTTAAGATGTGGAGTTCTATTTATGCCTATTATTGAGCACAGAAGAAAATGTTCTGATAAATAAAGGACAATAATAATAATAATCATTTGGGCCTACATGTATAACTACATTATGGTTCCCATCAGAGAACAAGGTAAACTATCTGAAACTCAAGGGGAAATTCATCCAGAGATTAGTTAGTTATCACTCAGAAGTTGAAGAAAAGCTCCCTAAAGGCGTCTTAGGACCAGTAGGATTTGACTTCTTTAATAAGTGACTTAGAAAGTCGCAGGCATGAATAAGGTATCCTGAAATGTACCCTATCCTCAGACATCAGGCACGTGCAACACAGACAACAGTGAGAACCCACCACTTTGCCCTGCATTCTCCTCCTGCCACTACTGGCTTCATCTCTGGCCCCAGCTGCTCATCTATCTAGTAAATACTGCGCTATAACCTGCAAAATAAACATGAGATGAGAGCAACGTTTTCCTGAATTCCAAGCCATGATAACTAAGAGCATTCTCTTAGAAGTCTAACCTGCAGCCTGAAGCTCTGGGTAACCTGGAGCAGGCTGTGCAATCTACCTTTGCCTTCATTTCCTCAGTCATGAAATGGAGGGAATAGGATTAACCTCAACTGGACTTGGAGAGGATAAATCTGTTCGCATAGTACCTGGTACACAGCATGCGGTTCAGTCATCATAGCAAGCATTAACACCAACAAGCTGGTTTCTCATGGCTAGTGATACAAATACATGTGGCTGGTTGACATTCAAAAGCTACATTATGATAAATAGTAATGCTATGATAATCATCTTATCAATGATTATGTTTACAAACACCCACCAACAGCAATGAACTCCACCCACCGACACCATCCTGTGAACATGGCACCTGGCCAGTGCTGCAATAAACAGTAATAAGAACAAGTGATGAGCTGATTTATGAGGGAAGTCAACAATTTCCTCAAGTCATCAGCTCTCTCACAATTGCTTAAAACCAAGTTTGAAAATAAATTTTTAGCCATGAGCAAAGGATGATTTATTTCAAAGGTTACCTAATTTGCAAAATCATTACAATTTAAGGGAAAGTCACAAACTCCAATGCAGAACCGGTGTAGAATTTTCCAGAGCAGTTAATTAAGTTAGAAAGGCTGCTCTTCCTAAAGGTATTTAATGCCAACAAAAAAGGCAGCATGTGAATAATGATATGAAACTGCCCCTATTCTACCACCATCACCGACCCACTGAACAGACGACCCTCATTTTGAACAAGAGACTCTGAAAGTCCTAAGAACAATGGGAAATACCTATATCTACGATGAGGTAAGTTACAAGAGTGAAAAAAGTCATCCTTACACCCAATTTCAATGCACTACATGTTAACAAGCTAATGGACATTTGAAAATTCCCCAAACAAAACATTTATGTAGTCATTTTTACACTGAGCATTTGGCTTTATATACATAACACATATTTATAAGCATACATCTTATTACTTTTGTGATGACTTTCTATTTATAATACTGCATCTATGGAAAATAGG